AAATAATGAATCAGTATGAAACTCTACCAGAAATATCCCTGAACAACATGGTTATAGATAAACAGAGGAATTATCTGTACACGGCGGTGCTAGGAGCCTTTGGGACGAAGTGGTCTCAACTAATGGTAGGGGTGAATAAAGTGGATGGTGAATACAGCGACAACCTTGTTAAGATGGCTAAATTCGTGCAAACATCGGAGGGCAAGGAGTTTTTAAAGAAATCTACAAACCTGTTCAAGTTTTATTTCGTGAGGAATCCGCTTGACAGGGTTATTAGTGGGTATTACTACTACTTTGTTGATCTCAACTACGCGCAAAGCTACCTAAACGGGGTCGCTCTGAAAGAACTGGTCAAAATAAACAAACTAAACCCTGGTAAAATAACTCAGATCACGTTTGAACAGTATTTAAAGTGGGTTATCTCCGGGGAGTCCGCTCTGAAGCACTTTGGTGTTCAGAGTGATATAATACAGCCGTGCACGGTAAAGTACACGCTCAACGGCATATTTGAGATACTGACAATGGAGCGACTTGTAATCGCTAACAACGTGCTAGACCTCAAGACACCCCGTTCTATCTTCACCACCGTCAGAGATCTGACCTATTTGACGACTGAAGCGAGAAACCTGGTGAACTCAGTGGATCCTGGTGTTATGGAGGAGTTTTATGACAAATACAGGTCTGATTATGAGACATGGAACTACAGCCGGCCTGGTCACTGGTTCTACCCTTACCCTGCCTTTGCGAAACACATGAGACTACCTTTAAATCCTACCTTCCAGGATAATGACTGGACTAAAGTGAAGGATTTAAAAGAGGAGGATCTGGTGATGTTAGAGGAGTTGAAAGGGGAGGAGAAGAGAGAGGTTGTGGAATCACAAGATACTCAGGGTAGAGGATCATTTGGCGTCGTGCCAATGTTAAGTTGCTCCCTGGTATTGGTGATATTGTTGTTCTATTAGTTTTTATGATGTTCGTGTTGCTGGGTTATTGTAGCGTAGAGGGTTTATTTTAAATAGAACCATCAGTTGTGTCAGTTACAAGATGATATTTATATTTTGCAAGAGTCGTTATCTGTTAATTTAATTTTAAGGTCAGATTTGATTGCGTCGCTGAAGCTGTATAAGTCAGTAATTTGACAACTACTAATACTGAAATACACCGTAACCACTATTCGTTATATTGACACTTATTATATTTTTAATATTTATATGATATTAATTTTGGTGTTTCACTGTGTAATAACACGTGCAATTGTTCGTAAAACAGAGAGAAGTTTATTTATTTTAACTACTGAAAGTAAGTTGAAAAGTACAAGACACTAACCATTTATCACTTCCTAATAGTGCAGTGCATGGCAAGTAAAATAGTTGGTGAAGACCAATCACAAGAAACACTTGAACAAGAGGTTTGAAATTCTTAAATTATTGAACTCAATCTTCTTAGTTTTAATTTGATCGTATTATTGATTTCGCCGGCACATTCACATATTTAAACCGCTTTTTCGTTCTATATAAAGTCTGAAATACGTGACGTTTGGAGTTCATGTCACTGCTCAGGTAATGGACAACTACGAAGAGTACAATTTCGAGGATTACGAGCAGGACAAAACCAGGAAACATGGAAGCAAGAAGGGGAGTGGTCAACACAAGGAGCAGAGTGAGTTACCATGGTTACTAGTGACTTCATAACGTTACCATGGTTACTAGTGACTTCAAAACGTTACCATGGTTACTAGTGACTTCATAACGTTACCATGGTTACTAGTGACTTCATAACGTTACCATGGTTACTAGTGACTTCATAACGTTACCATGGTTACTAGTGACTTCATAACGTTACCATGGTTACTAGTGACTTCATAACGTTACCATGGTTACTAGTGACTTCATAACGTTACCATGGTTACTAGTGACTTCATAACGTTACCATGGTTACTAGTGACTTCATAACGTTACCATGGTTACTAGTGACTTCATAACGATACCATGGTTACTGGTGACTCCATAACTTTTTCATGGTTACTAGTGACTTCATAACGTTACCATGGTTACCAGTGACTTCATAACGTTACCATGGTGACTAGTGACTTCATAACGTAACCATGGTTACTAGTGACTTCATAACGCTACCATGGTTACTAGTGCCTTCATAATGTTACCACGGTTACCAGTGACGCAAATTAATTATTATTGTTACGAATGACGTCATTCCGCTACCACGAACAGTACACCACATTGATTTGAACATGATTATTGAAAAGTGGTTGGAATTTATGTCGTAAAAGAGAGCGAATGACAATGTACGGCACCTAACAGTCACCTTCTTTTGGTCTTTGATTATGTTTCAAAATGTGACTATGTTACAAGATATGACACTAACAAGTCTTTCTCTTCAGGCACCAGTCAAGATCACACCCGTAAAATCCAAACTCAACTGAGGAACGAAGAGAAGAACCAGCAGGCGGAACAGGTGAAACACCCTGACAAGAAGTTCCCTGAAAAGAAATAGATTCACCTTATATATAATCGTGGGAACAACTAACAAAACTAAGCAATTATAGATTTTAATTAAGCTCTAAGAGCGAGAAAAAGGAGAATATTTGGATATGAATATTAGATCAATTTTGATCATTGAACTTTTTGGTTGACTTGAAAAAAAAGATTGACTTAAGAGAAGATTTAATCCATGTTTTTAATTTGCACAGGTTTGTATAGTATCATTGGTGAATCGGTTGATAACGATTGCGCAAATTTAATACGTTGCACATTCTATTAATTTGCGTAATCTCGGACCGAAATACTATAAACATTCAATTTTTGAATTAAGGGGATCTTTTAGTTTTCAATTTGAACGCATGACATCTAAATTTAATGACTGGAGCGGAGTTCATTCCTTGGTTAATGCATGATGCAAAACAACGAATTTTTGCTAATTAAACTTTTTACCATCGAACAGGGCGATGTTTTAGTATGTAGTAACTTAAACAATTTTATCTTTTATTGTGAATTCTAAAAATGGTTTGGTAAATTTTTAGGTTGAATACTTTGATGTATTGTTTTTGTAGATAAATTTGAAGGCTTTTTGTTCAGAAATTCAAATTCCAGATTTAGATAATTGCATTTTAATTTAAGTATACTCCAAGTTGTTTAAATTATTAGTTTAATTCTTTGCTTTTAATTTACGTTTCAGATAGTAAATGTATCTTTGATCTAAGTCGTTTTTGGTACTTTTTAGATTTTGTCATTTGATCTTATCATAATTTTGGGCTTAATTTCAATCAGATCGGCCATTTTTATTTCTTACTATACACTATTATATATCTACCTTACTCGGGAATATTATGACTGGGATAAAGTGGTGAGTTTTGGAAAATTTCGCCATATTTTTCCCGGTCATTAATTTTCCCAGTCATTAATTAACCCGCTATAATGTTCCCGAGTAAGGTAAACTAATAGTAATACATTTTGATGCTTGGTGGGTTTTGGAAAATTCCGCCATATTTTTCCCGGTCATTAATTTTCCCAGTCATAAATTAACCCGCTATAATATTCCCGAGTAAGGTATATAGCATGGCCGATAGATCTCTGCTAAATTATTCAGAATAGTAAGAGCACTAAACTGAAATTATATTTTGAACGACAGTTCCTTGTATCACGTTGCGACCCCCACGGTCGTTTCACTATGGTGAATCGTCCTGACGATACAGGAGGAGCCGCGCACTTCGTGCGCGGCGGGTCATACAACGTATGACAAACAGTTCCCAGGCCTTATGCAAGAAGTTGAAAGAGCCAGGTATGAGGTAACGCGCGCGCGTCAGTAAGTTACAAACTACTTGACCATTAATAGTAGAGGCTCTTACGGGCATTGTCTGCTCGATACGTTAGGGACCCCAGATACACCTTACTAGACGTATTTTTGACCGTAGAATCGATTTAAAGTGGTTTCAAGATGATTGGACTGATTGTTCTGGGGTAAAATCGCAAAAAACCGATTTTTGGGCCAAAAATAGGCCAAAAAACCATGTTTTTTGATATTTTGAGCAAGTTAATTTTGTTGGCATGTCGGCAAAACTTGCATAAAGATAGCTAAAAGACAGCCGCACAAGATTGTATAAAAATAAAACAAATCCCTCTATTTGTTCTGAGGTAAAAATCCAAAAAAGTGGTAAAAATTTTGATTTTTTTGCTTGAAGTTTGAATAATTTTTTGCAGTTGTATTAAATCAACCCAAAAATAGTCACATCGTGTTTGCCTAAATTTTTCCTTTCCGAGAAGTACCCACTTCATATACTTTATCGAAGTTTGAATATTGTCACTCCGCAAGCGTTTTTGCCAAATTTTCGACGCGCACTACGCGCAAAAGCATTTAGTTGTTATCAATTGGCACCCGCGCGTTCATCATAAATTTCAAACAGCTATAACTCAGCGAGATTATGTCCGTTCTAGCTCATATTTTCACACTAAATAGAAAATAATGTGATCTTATTGCTGACAAAATATGAATATAATTACTTTATTTGCCTTAGAGTAATAGACTGTCAAAGTTTAAAACGCGCATTGGTATAGCACGTGACTAATAAGGCCAAATTTATACTTCTTAACATATTATCGATCCTTAGCACCGCGGCGAATGCCGCGGGCTTCATATTGCTACGCGAGTCAAAACAATTTTTAGGCTGAAATTCGTCAAGAGATCGATTGTCATTTCGTTCACGAACCTTTTAAAGATATTTGACAGTGCCGATTCCATCCCTTAAAGGATTTTCAATAGTGCCGAGGAAAAATAAAACATCAAATTCATTCATCTGAATATTAGTAAAGGTTATAATGATATCAAATCAAGATTTCAAACGCGTGCAATCATTAACCCTAATCAAGTATTGTCAACTGTGATCAAAGATCATAGCAAAGTATGCTATCCTATATGTAAGCTACAATGAGGAAGAAACAGCATTATACAACAGTATTACAATAATAAATATAGGTATAATATCAAAATGTAACTATTACTGCTTACAAGACAACTATAGTTAAAAGATTGGCTTAGAAGATTTAAAATTGACATGAAATTTATTTGCGGTTTATTTTAGAATGCAACACAAACACTGTACACATCAAATAGAATCTTTAAAAACATAAAAAAAGAGATCATTCACTATTTGTCATTACATATTACAATTGTCGAAATACCACCTAATAACATATCTGACAACGGATGAGTAGCTCAGACGAGTAATCTGTAAGCTCTAGTATCAGGCAGCGAATGATGGACGTCCATGGTTCGATGCCGGTCGTGGTATTTTGAACATTTTGTGAAATTCATCACTGCTTGAGAGGGTCCACTTCCAGTTACCGATTTTCTCCCCACAAAACATGTATTCATTCTCAGCTTGATCTGACGTATTTTCCAATATAGTTATTCCATGTTCCAATGAATTGTTAATCTTCAAATTTGAGATCAGCAGTCGGGTTCTGAAATATCAAATTCATTTAATTTTAACGTCAACGGGCAAGTAATTCTTCTACTAGTAAAATTGTGGTTTCCAGTTTCGGGCAAATTTTCAATATAGCAACATATCAAATTAGTAATGGAAGGGCCCTCCTACTTCCAGTTTATGTTTGTGGTCAGTTATGAATGATTCGATGCACGTGCAAGTAACGCGCGGCTTTGTGCGCGCAAATTTTATCAAAGCTTGCGCCAAATCTGTATCATGCCTTTGGTTTGTTTAAAATTTTATCAAATTCTCGAAGACTTCGTCCCCATTTTTTGTTCCGAAAATGTTCCAAAATTCCGGATTCATCAACTCTTAGAATATATGTCAATAGAATCCACGTTTTAGAAAACCTCGAGACAACTTTTAAACATTCTTTTAGTTTTAATTGTTATATTTATCCAATAAGTAAAGTAGACTTGACCTGCGATCCTGATAGGTAACAGTTGCGGTGGTCCTTTTAATGTGGTATGTTCCAAAACTGCTGTTAGCCCGAATTTGTGTTGTGATTTATTTCGTCGGTTTATATCCCTTCAACCTGAGGTATTTATTGTTAGACTAACAAAAAATTTACTCAAAGCAGTCTTTCTTACAAATGTGTGAAATAGTCTTAAAATATTTTCATAATTGTGACATAGAGTGAGATGAATTTTTCTTACGGGTGGAATTCCTGAGTGAGTTGTTCTGGAATGTTCTAGATGAAAACATGCTGTAATGAATGTAATGTATTATACATTTATGGCGCCATGGCCATCTAACTTGTGAACATTAATTTGGCCAATCACATGACCCGGACTGTCGGCTACACAATATTCCGATATGTTTACCAGACTTTCCCACGTGATAGCTTAGAGTTAGACCGCAGGACTTCAACATTTGTAATATTACTTGTATGCATCATACTTTAATTAAAGCCACCAATGTATATTCATATAACGGATTTCAGGACATTGAGCCACAAGATGTAGATTTCTCCGAACAAAAGAAACAGGCCCTGACAACATTGTCAGGGCTCATCATGCCATACCACTATCCGGACTTTGTTCTGATAAACGAAGGCTTGGGTCAGTAATATTATACGTGCATAGTATTTCAAATGTTAGTTATTCAAAATGCGTTTTCACGGTTAACATTCATTACACAAATTATTTTATAAAAATATTACAGGAATCATAAAGCAGTTGGGGAATAACAACGTCCCGGGATTAGTTTCTGATTCAGACGGCTCCCTCATTAGGGACATTTCTAATCCAGTAATCGAAAAGGCAGTATTGGTAACTAAAGCTGTCAGTTACAAGTCGAGTCCAAGCGGAGAGGATATGTCAAAACTTTACTGCCAGATAGCCTGTTTTTTACAGGTAAATGCTCGAACTCAATTTCTGTCTTACAAGGTGTTTTATAGTTTAAAACTAAATCTCCAAACTCTTTGATACAAGTTTGACATAATTGAGGGACATGATTTCAAATAAGTGACGTACTCAGCGTATAACTTGAGACAGCGTTCAAGCTGTAATTACATTACTAACAATTGCTAACACCAGATCTTTACACTTATCAGTATACTGCTGACCCTTGTAAGCCACCAAACGGGTTGATACTAGAAATCGACAAGTACGACTCTTTTGTCCGAGTTTGGCATGTTGACATTCTTCCCGATGTCGTAAGGGAGGCTCATAAAGTGTTTCTCACATACTTCTGTCACGATGAGGTAAACCTCGATTATATATATTATATTATAAATATACTAATACTGACAAAACTCGTGGTCACAGGGTGGAAGCTAATAGGATCCAATTTTATCGCATCAATAAAATATGTCGACCACAATGGCCGATGATATAGTGCATTAAAATATAACTCGAAGTTAACTTAAACTAAAGCTTACGAGCTGTTCTGTTCAAAACGTAATTCACCCTCAATCTAGGGTGTCAAAGAAATCAAGAAAGTCATTCCTCAAGCGATTAAAGAGCTAAGAGAAAAACTTCGGGAAATATGTTCAACAACAACGGAACATTTGGGAGATTTTCCTTTGTTAACCTTTTCTCAGGGAGAAATTCTCCCATGCCGGAGAAACTGCAACTATGTGTTTACCCCAAAAACTTTAATCGACAGACAAGGTTTGATCATAAAAATCATTTTCTCAAAAAAGTGATACAGATCTCAACCTTATGTATCAATAATGTTTTATCATCCGATCATAAACATCTCAAACACAATATTAATTGAAGAGTTTAATTTAATTTAGAATTTAAGACATTGATGATTTGATAACTGACAGTGAAATGGATTATCAGGAACCAAAGGAACATTCCTTATAGAAGCAATCAAACAAAGCAGAGAAGACGGTTTTGCGTATACTCTGCTGAAAGCAGCAAATATCATGATTTATACGCTCGCTGACATAGCACGTGCTAAAAGTAACAACACCTATTATTCAGGTATCTTGCTAATAAGCTATCATATTTCGCAATAATTCTATTCGATAAATATGACAGATAGTCCTAGAGATCTTTTGAATCAATTTTGGCATAGGTCAAATATAATAGAAATGATAAGGTACACAATTATGAATTTATTAAGCATTTCTGCACAGTAGATTGAAGCATCTCTAAATTAGCTACTATTTTTATTGTATTGCTGTGCAAATGTGATTATATTTCTAATTCTATTTTCCATATAATAGACCGATCCATAATTTCAGTATATTGGTTTCCAGCGGCTTCTGATCTTAGTGTTGAGGTAGACAAGACTATTACAGAGCATGTCTTAACGGAGTTACGCAGAAGAAACCTTAATGTAGTTGCGTGCTCCTTCGATGGTAAGTCTCATCTTAGAGTTTCAACAGGCATGAAAGGAGAGCCTCAAACATACATGCAGGTGGTGAGAAACCACTGGGATGAGTGCAAAAAGGTGAAAACCGTACAAGACCTCATCGATGTAACAGCTGAGGAAACTGGAGAAGTAAAGAGGTTGAGTCTGCTCTGTTTACTTCGAATTCACAGATTGAGGTAAGAGATGTTCGTAACTGAACTGACACTTTCAAAAAGATAATAAATTGAAGTTTAGGAACACCACTATAAAGCTTATACTCAGATGTTAATAAATTTTTATGAATGTTAAGGGTTCAGTCTTAAGTAACAAGGGTCACTTGCCCACCTAGCAGTAGCTACGAAGATCAAGAAGCTCCCCGCCTTCAGCAAACTCCTAGAGATACCAGAAGAAGACTCCTTCTACCCTCTCCCCTTTACTGGAGAGAATCTCTCTCAGAAGCTCAAGCTAAAGGATTGTCTGTTCGATAAAACACCTGGCTCTAAGAAGAATAAAGAGGTTTGACATTTTAAACTTTTAAACAGGTTCTCATTGCTACATTCTTACTGAGGTCAGAGTTATATCAAAAGGTATTTAAGTTGCCAGCTAACAAGATTTTGAAACTTTAAAGTGCACCTTAGTTTTAAATACAACTAGACGATAAACCTGCTGAAAAAGTGCGAAAATTAAAGACTTATTATTCCCAGGTTAGACCCAGGACGGTGAACGAGCCGCCCAGAGGTGCCGTTCCTGTTAGGACAGCCGGTTTCCACAAAAGGAATGAAGAAAGATAGAACAATTTAAATGTTTGATTGTGAAATGCATTACGTTTATTTTTTTTGTTTTCCGATATATGTTTGAAGAGTTGACTTCAAGTTTTAGTAGAGTTTAGATAAAATGACTGACACACAATGTTACTTATTTTACCCTTTTCCAGAGAGTACTATTTTAAATACTATGATTAATGAAAGCATGCTATTAAAAATAGAGTACATACCATTGTTCGAAGTCTGCAAAATCGGACGGGCTGACGATTGTTATCGGCTGCGTTCTCATATTTGAGCTAATTTAAAATATAGAAGGTTAAACGACTATCAATTATATCAGACAGCATCAGCAAAAACTCTATCCAATAATGAACATAGCATAGGTGATGTAAGCAGTTTCCATCGAGCAACAGTGGACGATGAACAGTTTAACTAAATCGCAAACACAGCGTACATCAACATATTTGTATTATTAACACAGCGTGTAAAACAGATGACGCGCGTTGAACACAAGCGAATTCAAACTGTCAAATTTGACGCTGGCTCCAATATCAGGAAAGAATCATGAAACCAAGGCAACTTGATTCTATTATCCAACGCGACATTGGTTTGAGCGCATTATCGACACGTTTTAAATGCGCAGAACAATTTTGTGCGCGGCACTAGCATTTTAAATTTTCAAAATTCAAATCATAGCCAGAGTTATGGTTATTTTTCAAGACAAATTTTGAGGCAAATTTTACGTGTAAATTATCCATTTTTCATTCATGATCACTCATAATTTGAACAATTTACCTTGGATTGAATTGAACTCTTCAGTATTCGATGATTAAAACAATTGTTTTAAGAACAGAGTAGTTTTAAAGCTAAACATTCGCAATTTGTCTTAACAGGAGTCTTGGGAGAATTATAAAAATGAAATTTAAACGTTTTAGCGGCGCATGAAGCCCGCGGCTTTCGCTGGGGTGCTTAGACATCATACTATTGTGTCCAATTAGCGGTTAGGTCTCTAAACTCGTAGCAGAAAACACGTCTTTTTGCCCGTAAGAGCCTCTACTATAATGGATGATGATTAATCACTCTACACTCGACTGTCACGTGACTTTTTCAACCCGTCCTCTAGCTGTTCCTGAACGACTATTCAAAACCCTAACCATCTAATCTGATCCTAACCCTAACCCAATACTAAACAAAAACATATGCCCTAACGAGAAATTAGACTAACTTCCTTAGCTTATACGGTGTCCTTAGCTCACGTGATCGAGACAGTTTTTCGCCAATATCTCGTCAGGGGAGCATTTTAACCCTATGTCATTGGGGTGATTCGAAATCAGCGTCCGAAAATACATCGATCGAAGTTGGTTTCAACGGTCGAGGGCCCTTTTAGAACAATCTCTAAAATGTAAAATCGACTAGAGTGATTTAGCAGCCAGCAGCGCACGCATTAATACACGTTTCATATTACCCCACGCTGTGGCCCTTACTGGGCCGCACTCAGCCTGTCATTCCGCCGAATCTCTATTTATGAACATAATAGCCTGATGTCCCCAGGTAATGTGGCCCCTGCCGCAGCGAATAGCCACGAAATGATTTAAAATAAATCAGTGCCGGGACGTGAGAAAAGTTGCATATCACTTTTGTGCGCGCACTTTCTGTGAGAATTGAGAAAATATAAATGTGCAACATATGTATATTAATTGAAATCGGAAGGGGGTAGGGTAGTGTTGTCATCATACGTTGTATGACCTGTCGCGCACGAGTGCGCGGCTCCCCCTGTATCCGCGTTGAAACTGTACACTATCAACTATAGTCGTTGAAACTCTACACTATAGTGAAGCGACAGTGTGTCACCACGTGATAGTGATACAAGGGTAGGGAGGTTGTGTGTGTGTGTGTGTGTGTGTGTGTGTGTGTGTGTGCGTGTGTGTGTGTGTGTGTGTGTGTGTGTGTGTGTGTGTGTGTGTGTGTGTGTGTGTGTGTGTGTGTGTGTGTGTGTGTGTGTGTGTGTATTGTTGATTACGAGCTTAATCACTCTACCATTTACACATGACGAACTTCTAAATGTTTCTAAAGAGCCTCCGACAGTTTAAACCAACTTGAATCGATGGATCACGTGAAATGAAATTGACCATATAAGCAATAAGGAAGTTACTCTTATTTCACGTTGTTGTTTTCTTTCAGTGAACAGTGTTGCAGTTTACTGCAATTAACATGACGATATTTATTTAGCTAGTGCTTTCCACACTTATCCATGTTTTTTTGGTTATTAAACATGTAACTGTAAGATGTAAGAAAGGCTTGGGCCTGGGTGGCCCACTAAAAGTTAGCATGTCACAGTGCAGGAGGGGCTAAGTGCAAAGAAACTACTACTAACTGCTGCTCACTGCTGCTCACTGCTGCTCACTGCTGCTCACTGCTGCTCACTGCTGCTCACTGCTGCTCACTGCTGCTATGGGCGCGCGCGCGACAGCAGCAGTGAGCAGCAGTGAGCAGCAGTGATCGAGCAGCATTAATTGACGATGTCAATTCATCTCAGCTCGGCGCGGCACAGTATATATAGCGCATCTCACCGCTGTGAGAAGCCTCATTGATTGCGCGGCGCGGCACAGTAACGCATCGCGCTACAATGAGCAGCAGTGAGCAGCAGTTAGCAGCAGTTTCTTTGCACTTAGCCCCTCCTGTGTCGAGTTCTATTGTTTAATTAAGTAATAGCATGTTTTGAGCGAAATCAGTTTCGCGAATATCGCGAACTGAGATGTGGGCTATTTTTTTCATTTTTGCATATTTGAACACAGAATCTACAGTTAGGTCATATTAAGCTCATGATCATAGAGACTATGAAGTTTAGGCTCACCTTTTATATAAAGTTGGTTTCATTCACAAATATTGATATTTGACCAATTTATGGGCGAAAATCGATCAAATTTGGTGCGTATGCCCAAATATGGGTATATATATGGTTTTTGGCTCATAACTCAGTTATTTTATGTCCAATCTTGATGAAAATTTATATACGACTTCAGGGTACCATTAGCTACAAGTACAAGTACAGCACCTAAATCGGGGTTTTGAGCATGTTAAGATGATTTGGCATAATTGGGCATAATTGGGACCAAAAATGGGCGTGGCTGTCCCGCAGGCACCCGGAGTCCGTAACCCCCTCAAAAGTTTGGTCACCGGCCCTAGTTTGTTGGTCAATTCCTATCTCAAAATCAAATTTCACAAAAAATCAGGGTGAACCCCCCTTAAGTACTACTATTGGATACGTATTACGTGATGGGCGCTCAGAATTAAATTTACTCTAATTAATTTAATGCAGTCGGTTTCAACTGAGCGAGTTTATACTTTTTCGCAAGTTTAACTTTTGCACTGTTTATACTTTTGCAAATCAACTGAGATAGTGAAGTCCCGGCCGTAGGCACGGGTTACACTGGTGACTAGTATACACTAGTGACTAGTATTACATATTATATAGACGCTTTGGCAGTCAATTGTAGCCTAAATTCAAGTGTCCGTAGATTCAAAAGTATAAAAGATACAGTCATAATCATCACTTGATGATGTCATCAAGTTAACTGTTTTTAAACTTGATTTTTTATAAAGTAATAACTTTTCAAATCGATTGTTTTCCATTAAGGAGTTATTTAATGTTAATTTTGAGGTCACATTAAAGTTAGATAATTGTCCAAGCATTTTGAAAATGTGCCGAAAAGTTTTCATAGCTTACTCTTCATAAAAATATTTGCTCTTGACGTTAGTACTTTTTTAAAGAATGAATTTATAAAAACACAAAAGTTGTGAATTAGTATTCTCTGGTGTTGGACCATCCCTTGGGTTGTGGAGCTTAATTTTGCTTCCTATAGATCTATATTGTGTTATAGGCTATAAGTTTAATAACACCACTTTTTAAGAGCAATGTTTTATCTAAACAAGCATTGATTATTTAGGGTTTTCTAAAAACATCATCTATTCTAGCATTTATTACATGGTTACCTAATCCTATTAAAGTATTAATAGATTAATAGCTTCGACTAATAACAGACTAGAGTCTTCGATCAAAACTGTATGGACTGCTGTTTCAAGATTAGACTGAGTATCTTTATTTTTGAGACACGTATCAATCTTACGTTTTCTCTCGATATCTCGAACCCTCGACAACATGCTCTTGATCTTTTTTTCTGCTTTAATTTACCGTGCCCATTCTGAGGGGGATCAAAGTGCACTTCAATTTGGACAAACAATCGGGGACTACATGCAGCTAAAAGATGGTATAATGGACTCATCGACATCACAGTTTTCTGTGTGCACTTGGGTCAAGAATAGATTTGATGCAGAGAACCCAACAGTGCTGGACTACTGTCCTCGAAATGTTGCTAATTCCGACATATTTCTCGGTTCTAACGGCAAGTTCAACTGGGTGGTAGGTAGTAATCTCAATCTAGAGGATGAGTACAATGTTCCAAATGGTGAATGGTTCCACCTCTGTTGGACCTGGACTACCTCTACCTACATCACCACAGTCTACCTTAATGGAGATGTAATAGGATCTGGAGCTACTAATGAGAGGGAGCTAAAGACAGGTTGGAGGATGAGTTTGGGAAGCAATGCAGAGGAAACAAAGGAATCACGTTGCATCTTTGGGGGTGATATGTTCAAGTTGAACATTTATAGTAGAGTCCTCAGTTTATCTGAGATACAAAGAATGTCATCTGACATGTGTTCTGTGGAAGAGGAGCTACTTACCACTATTAAGATTCTAAGTTGGAGGGATGTAATATCAAGTGAAAAAACTGGATCAGTGACTGAGATCACGTCCGGATGCACTGATATAGGGACACTGGCTGATACTGTGATGAGGTCGCAGAATAACGAGCAAGAGTTGGCTCAGACAAAGACTTTCTTGAATACTCTTAACAACTCGCTCACAACTACTCGTGATGAACTAAACAGAACCATGAAGCAGGCTCTAGCGGCAACAAAGACCAACCTGGAGAAGCGACTAGACATCCTGGGCACCGATCACAAAGATAGCAATAGTAAGTTAAATACTTGATAAAATCTTAATCCAAACCAGGCAACTCCTATAAATTATAACCAAATAGTATAGGCTAATAGTAATATGATAACAAATTAATTAACGTGTAATTATTTTCAGAACTATATCTAACTCTGGTGAATGCTAGCACAACTACTCGATATGATCTAAACAGAATCAAGCAGGAACTATACAATACCACGCAAGATCTAGAAGCAACAAAGACCAACCTGGAGAAGCGACTAGACATCCTGGTCACCAATCACAAAGATAGCGAGAGTAAGTTAAATACTTGATACGGTTAAAATTGATTAATAATATCTATTTATAAGAATATTTTGAGTAAAATATCATTTAATTGATTTGTTAAATCAATGACCCATGTCCCACCATAATCATCCAAAACAATAAAAATTAGAAGAGAAAATTTAAATTTACATTATGATATGATCAAATGATGATAAATGTAATTTAATTTATCTTGATCATGATGGCATGCGAAGTGATAAGGGTTCAAACTTAAGAGGCAGAAGAAAGCTGCTAGCTGAACACTAGAAGCTTCTGTACCAAACACATTGTGCGATTTGCACTACACGTGATTGTATTAAGTATTAACATTCATGTTTCATAGCACAAGTAAAGGGAGATATGATTAATGATAGGGTGGGACAAACTTCAACTATAATAAACAGTTCGGATACAGTTTTCGGTATTCGGTTCGACCGAATAGCTAGAGATTCGGTTGATTAAATATTCGGTTGATTCGGTAATCGGTTACTGAATACCGAATTCTACCGAATACTGAATATTTGATTATTCGGTATTAACACGACGAGCCCAAAATATTACAAAATCACAATTCAACCCAAGCAACTTTTATAAATTAACCGGATAGTTTAGGCTAATACAATAACAAATTAATTAACATGTAATTATTTTCAGAACTCTATCTTACTCTGATAACTGTCTTTGGGGCAATACCAGGAGTTCTCCTGATTGTCCTGACTGCAATTCTTCTCTACAAAGTGGCGGCAAAAAAGAAAACAGACCAGCATGTTGTCATGAGCAACCTTGCCAGGGAAACTCCCAGTATGTGCAGTGTACGAGGCCCCAGTATGGAAATGACACTGGAGGAAGAGTATGCGAAGAAGTAGACGAAGACAATTATACGATAACATAATTGATGTTGAAGAGCTAGATAACACAGATGGAAGAATTTTTTGAATTATTTGAATTAAGTATAAAATTGTACCATTCAAAATATTGCATTGGTCAAAATTAAACCAACACTGTATAAATTCACAGCTCCTCAACTTAAATTGATCAATGCAATACTGAAAAAAACTCATAGTTATGAAATATATTTCTCCCTGATAATCTGTTGAGTTGGTTATAGTTTTTGATTATTAACATTTTAAAAATTGTACTTTAAAACTATTTTTCTAACATAAATCGAAAGTGTTTTATTCTGCTCACATTTTGCAAAATTGTATGTAATACATAAACCTGAATCTCCATTTGAAATGATTCGACAAAATTAGCCAGTTTGGAAAATATAAACGCATATCCGCTGCTGATGTCATGAAGTCAACATACAATTTACCTTCTACGATTGGTTCCTTACAAAAATTCCGCAACCGGTATGTTTATTTTTCCAATGATTTACAAGACCAGATCTCCAACGGGAACTGTATTTACATAGCTCACATTTATAAGGACGTTCATAGGAATGTGTTCTCATGTGACACCTCAAAGTTAATTTCAAACTTGCCCGAAAACTACACAAATTGCACCCGTATGGTCGCTCCCCTGTGTGAGTCCGTTTGTGTGTGGTCAAATGTCCATTCTGAGTGGCTGAATAATTGCACTGGTCACATTTGAACGGTCTCTCTCCAGTGTGGATCCGGAGGTGCATTTTCAGTCTAGCTCGTGATGCCGCTCTATAGCTGCACTCGTTACACTTAAACGGCTTGTCTTCAGCTGAGTCACTTGTATCTTCGTATTCTATGTGCTGATTTTTTGGATCCTCTGTTGTCCCGGTGACTTTTGCTTTGGAATAACACATATCGCATATGAAGTAACGCTGTTTTTTGTGTGATGTCATGTGAACAGATAAAGCGACTTTCCACACGGTGGAAAAGTTACATTCCTTGCAGAAGTACTTTCCATCTAGTCGACCAACAGAGTCGCGTGTTGGATAGCCCTCGTGACTTATCTGACACAATTCACAATTACAGAATTTGTCTTTTGCAGGAATTTTCTGTGTTTCAACTATCTGAGGGTCCTTTTCTTGCTCCATTTCGTCCTTTTTATGCACATAACGTTTTCGTTTTCTCACAGGAAGCTCTAAAGATTTCATGCGATCATATCTGTCAGAGTATAAGCCACAGTTGAGACACACGTAGCAAAAATTGGTGCTTTTCTGCTTTGAAATGGTCTGTTTGTTTAGTCTTAGATCCGGGTGATTTATGACTAATTCTTTCGTCGACATCCCTATAAAAATAGCAAGGTAAGAAAAGGAAAGAAATTATAAATGATAAGATAATCATAGATGATAAGCTTTAAATAAATAACTACAATTAATTTGTAGGTCGTACTTTATAAATTGAAAAACAAATTGCAATTGCCCAAATTGCAAAATCTTAATTTGCAGTAACAGCAAAAAACGAATATAACTACGATCATGATCGTAAAAACCAATACTAGTTTATTATGTCGCTTTATAAAGCCATCACATCCGGGATTAGGTGTCATTAGGGTTACTACAATATACAATATGTACATACCTTATCGGACATTATTTGGACGGACATTACATGGACGCTGGAGGCCCTAGCGTTCATCTTAATGTCCGTTCAAATAAAGTCCGTTCAATTAATGACCGTCCAAGTTAAAGTCCGTTGAAATTTTTTCAAAAATTTTTCCATTTCGAACTTTTTGTCCAGAATATGACAACTATGAAAACTTTATTGTGCCGTAAGTTAACGACGGAAAGGTTCTCCTTGGTCTGCCGGAGGCACAGAAAACTCTACTAGTATATGATGTTTTCAAGGGTCACTTGGCGGAAAAAGTCAATGAAATTATGGCACTCAACAACATAGTTCATGAGCTAGTCCCCGCCAACATGACAAACTTGTTCCAGCCTCTAGATATTACGGTAAATCGTGTTGCCAAGGACATTGTCCGACGTTGTTATAGTTCATATTACTGAGGATAGGTAATGAAACAGTGCTAGAGTGCTAGGAAAGCTCCACGTGATGTTAAGGTTAACCTAAAGTTGTCAAGATAAAACCACTTCACGCCGAATGGCTTGTAAAAGTTAACACTGAAATGCAGGACCGGGGTAGTTTGATAAAAAAGGTTTCCATAAAGCTAGAAATCACTGATGCTTGTTTAAGCATGGACTATTTCATGCACGAAAACCCATTTGATGAAGATGATATGTGATATTAGACACTGATCATGTACACATATTTTAACATTTTTACTGCTTGATGACAGCTTTTCTTACTTACTGTATAAAAATGGATTTAAAAATCATTGGCTGAAAATGAAATTAAAAAAACGTCAAAAAATTGAAAAAATTCGGATTTTTGATGGTTTTGAATGCCTTCGAGCGTTCATATTAATGTCCGTTCATGATTATGTCCGTTCATGTAATGTCCGTCCAAATAAGGTCCAATAAGGTATATATTGTTTCACGAATGAATATTTATGTAAACATTTAGCTTTGTAATTTTAATGTTAACTGTCAGCAGACGACGCCATCCACAAATATCCCTCAATATATATCCCTCAATATATATATCCCTCAATATATATATCCCTCAATGCATATCTTACACAAAATCTTAGTCGCATAGTAGCAGATTAGTTCGCTTTCGGTTCGAATAGATAAAGGGACGTAATATATATCCAGGTGTGAAGTGAGTATGAAGCAGCTTATTTTTTCTGTCAACTTATCCGGCCATGCATGTTTTTCAACCCCATTTTGTCTCAATTCATGATGTTTAAAACGATGTTCTAAGAAAACGTCCGGAATTCAAACGCATTTTTGCTGTTTTAACAGAAACTAGATTTTTAGCAACTTTAAAGAAGTATGTAATATCACCTATCAATATTTTATAACGAATAACACAACAGATAATACTGAATACACCCTCTAAAACTCTGCTGATCTAGGAATTGATCGGAAGTTACGACGTTGAGAAAATAAGCTAGAGGAAGTACAAAATTGCTTCGTTAAAAATGTTGCATCGATCAAAATTGTATGGATAGTGCAAAAATTCGCACAATCTACCACTCAACTTGAATGAATCAATGCAATATAATATAAACAAAATATTAGGTATAAGTAATAAAGAATGTAAACTTCTAAGCTTACCGCAAAGAAACTATTAAATTTAACGGATATGAGTCTTTCAACACTTTCTAGAGTTCGTATACTATTGATTGATATAAAGTCAATCATCACATTCACGTATGATATAATATTTGAAAATGTAAATTGACTAGCGGCACACGTACAATATATCATTTTCCGATGATGGCCAATGTCCATAAAGGAAAATACTTTTAAGGAGCTTATATCAGCCCTTAGCTTTAGAGTCCTAACTGTTCTATTTCAGTTTCGAGGGAAATGGTTATTTGTTATTACTATTAGTCCTTAGTCCTAACTGTTCTATTTCAGTTTCGAGGGAAATGGTTATTTGTTATTAGTCCTAACTGTTCTATTTCATTTTCAAGGGAAATGGTTATTTGTTATTAGTCCTAACTGTTCTATTTCAGTTTCGAGGGAAATGGTTATTTGTTATTGGTCCTAACTTAAACTAGACTGTTCTATTTCATTTTCGAGGGAAATGGTTATTTGTTATTTATATTAGAGCCGCCGAAGATTACGGCTTTTATTCGCCCTTAATTTTATTCAACTAATCTTAGATAAAATCCTATTATAATCCCCCCCTCCAAGTCCAATGATATTATAACATTAAACATAACAGACACCACACCCTCTAAAACTCTGCTGATCTAGGAATTGATCGGAAGTTACGATGTTGAGAAAATAAGCTGGAGGAAGTACAAAATTGATCCATTAAAAATGTGGATGATGATTAATCACTCTACACTCGACTGTCACGTGACTTTTTCAACCCATTCTCTAGCTGGCCCTGAACGACTATTCGAAACCCTAACCCTCTTATCTGATCCCAACCCTAACCCTAACCCAATCCCTAACAAAAGCATATGCTGAAAACCTAACCCTAACGAGAAATTCGACCAACTTCCTTATACGGTCATATCACGTGATCAAGAAAGTTTTTCGCCAATATCTCGGCAGGGGAGCATTTTAACCCTATGTCATGGGGGGTGATTCTGAATCAGCGTCTGAAAATACATCGATTCAAGCTGGTTTCAACTGTCGGGGGCCCTCTTAGAACAATCTCGAAGATCGACTGTAGAGTGATTTAGCACGCTCGTAAAAATGTTGCATTGATCAAAATTATATGGATAGTGCAAAAATTCGCATACTCGACCACTTAACTTGAATGAATCAATGCAATATAAACAGAATATTGGAGAGATAATTGTTGGAGAGATATTCTTGATCGATTAATTTGTTATTTCGTGAAAACTAAAGTTCGTAGTCTTAATTAATTCTTAAGTTTCAGCACTATAATCATCATTCCTTAAGAATATATATACGAGAAATAACAATTAAACTCCAGGAATAAAAATATACACATTATACTTACCATTATACTTACCATATTATACTTATGGGGGAAATTAGCGATACAAAATGCCCAAATTGAAAAATGTTTGTGTGCAGCAACAGCAAAAAAACAAACAAATCTACGATCGTCGGTGAAAATCAGAGCCTATGTTTATCATGTCGCTTTATCAATTGAGGCATTGCATCCGGGTACAGACAATGATAGCAAGGTCCATTGAGTTATACAAGGCCGAAAAGTTTGAGCAAAATTATCAATTTTATTGCTCTCTGGGACTTCCAAACAGGTTAAATTAACCTCTCGCAAGTACCTTCCTATCAAAAGTTTAAAAAATAGGCCATGGCCAGTTGGCCTCACAAATAAGCTATTCTGTAAAAAGCACATAATCCCGGATACAATCCCTCAATATATCTATACAATATTTTAAACTTGACGAAATTTCCCCGGCAACGGGGACATAGAAGAAAAAACACCGAAAATCGACCTCAAAATGACCCTCTGGTGAAGCCAAACCCAGCTCGCAAATGGAGTTGAAACCTCGCCATTTTTAGCAGGGTTGTAGAAAAAAGATAGGAATAGGCTATACTTATAGCATTCTTAGAATTTTGATTTAGGCTTTAGATTTTTTATAATTAACGTCGGAAGTGAGGTTAAATAATCGTTAGAATAATGGCGTTATTTTAGCAAAGATTTACTGCGCTGTTGTGTAGCAACGATAAAAATGCACGTGCGCGAGCAAGAACATCTTAACTACGCGCGTTGTTATGCTGTATGCTACGTCATAACTTCAAAACTAGCTCACATTTACGCTCACGCTATGACTTATAATAACATAAACCCGCCACGCAAAGGGTTTATATAACAGATCATCCCGCGCTAGCGGGATGATCTGATAAACACATACGAGTGCGCGCAGCGCACGAGTTTTGTGTTAATATGTAATCCCGAAGCGCCAGCTGAGGGATTACATTTATTTAGCCCTGAGCGTGAAGTGTTTATGGATTATAATTATCTCCGGCGATTTCGACAAGGGATTTAGACAACACGATTGGAAAGCAGTTCATCAATCTGAATGTCAAACCGATCTGTCATAGTGGAGCAATAGCTTGAACGTTAGCAGGAACAAGAGCTGGAAGGAGAGCAAGCAAAACAATACTATATTTAGGGCACGGACAAGGGTAGCTGGCTAGTCGCCAACTTCTCACGCCACGCGTTGGAGAAATTCCAAGAATTAGCTGCTTTGGCAACGTTCCCAGGAATTTGCGTGTAAAAGAAGTGGACGGTTACGATGTTTCATATCACGTGGTGCGCTTTCGTGTCACGTGGTATAGACTCGGCGTATGCTATTGGTGGCACGTGGTACGCACGTGACGCGCCCACGTGATCGCGCGTCTAACTGTTCTACTATTATCGAGTTCTAATCAGCAGTATCATTGATTATTGTAAGACGGAGAATTGAATGATAAACATCAGTTACGACTAAAAAGCGGGCCGGGTTTATACAAATTTCCGGGGCGGGATGATATCACCTCGAGATGTTTATCTAACAGCGGGCCGGGCTGAGTGATAATATGATCCCGCGTCGAAATCCCGGAGATATTTATAAACATAACTGATTTTTAAAATTTCCTCGAACAAAGCTTTCGACTAGCGGGTTTCTAGTAATATATATTACATAGTAATGGGGTATTAGATATTAGATAATGTGTTTCGTTTCGTTTCGTTTTCGTTTTGGTTAGAATAGATAAAACGACGTAATGTATGAGTATCCAGGTGTGAGCAGTGAGGTGAGTATATGAAGCAGTTTGTTGTTCAACTGATCCGGCCATGCATATATTTTCCCCAGAAATAATAATTAAACCCCAGAAATAACAATATGACTGTATTACATATAGGCAAAATTAACACAATTAGATATGAATATTTATTTTCACTACCAATGCATTCAAATTTAATCGCAAGTGCAACTGGTATGTTTCTTTTTCCAATGATTTGCAAGACCAGACTTCCAGCGAGAATTTTAGTTACAAAGCTCACATTTAAAAGGGTGCATATAGGAATGTGTTCTCATGTGACACCTTAAAGTTAATTTCAAACTTGCCCGAAAACTACATTAATTACACCCAAATGTGAATCCTGGGTGGCTGAATAATTGCACTGGTCACATTTGAAAAGGTCTCTCTCCAGTGTGGATCCGGAGGTGCATTTTCAGTCTAGCTCGTGTCATGCCGCTCTATAGCTGCACTCGTAACACTTAAATTCATGGTGTTTAAAACGACTTTCCATTCGGTGGAGAAGTCACATTCCTTGCAGAAATACTATCCTTGTAGTCGATCAAAAGAGCTCTCGTGACTTATCTGACACAATTCACAATTACAGAATTTGTCATGTGTTTGAACCATCTGAGGGTCCTTTCCTTGCTCCAATCCCTCCTTTATATGCACATAAGAGGACTATCTTGGTTGTTTTCTTCTCACAGGAAGCTCTAAAGATTTCATGCGATCATATATGTGAATGTCCGAGTAGTCAGTAGCCACAATAGAGACACAAGTACTCGTAGCATAGCCATAAATTTGGTGTTTTTCTGCTTTGAAATAGTCAGTCTGTAGAAATAGCAGAAAGATGTAAACAGATACGATAATAATATATGATAAACCTTACTCTAATAACTACAGTTCAAATTGAATTGTGGAACAGGAAAGTAAGTACTTAATTGAAAACAAAATTGACCAAATGGCAAAAATTGCTTGGCCCTAAGTATGGGCATGGCCCTTGCAAAAGTAAATTCCGCTAAAATAATACCGGAAGTCATGGTGAATTGAGGCATTGTATCCGGGTTTGGCTGTTAGAATGTTGCAAAACCGCTGTTAGTGTTATGTACGTGTGCACCAACTTGTTTACTTTTGATAGGAAGGTATATATCTTACTGGGCCGCGCTCAGCCTGTCATTCCGCCAAATCTTTATTTATGTTAATGAAATTGAATATAATAGCCTGGGGTCCTCAGGTAAGTATATATCATGATCACACTTTTGACCTTAAAAAACGCAACCAAGTGACATTTGTTGATAACTCGTTCAAATGTTATTTAGAGCTTTTATAGTTCTGTAAAACTGCAGTTGCAATTGTTCTACTGCTAGAATATTTGGTTGTTCGGGTGAATATTTGGTTGTTCGGGTCGACATCAAATATCGACCCCTGCACGTGTACTACATACTTCCAAATGTTAAATTTATCCCAAAAGTACTGGACTATTAGAAACAAAGTGATTTATAATTATACACTACCTCATCGGACCTTATTTGGACGGACATTAATTGAACCCTGGAGGCCCTAACGTTCATCTTAATGTCTGTTCAAATAAATTCCGTTCATTTAAGGTCCGTCCAGGTTAAAGTCCGTTGAAACTTGGAACTTTTTCTTACTTACTGTATAAAAAATGGATTTAAAAATCATTTGCTGAAATAAAAAAAAGGATTTTTGATGATTTTGAATGCCTTCTAGCGTTTATATTAATGTCCGTTCATAATTATGTCCGTTCATTTAATGTCAGTCCAAATAAGGTCCGATAAGGTATATCCTACTCCTAGATTCAATTTAATAATATAAAATGAACTATGTAATCCAGCAAAATGTAATTTTATTCCTTGGTTGCCAACTTTAAGGTCAGAAATGAAAAATATGTAACGATGATAACAGACCAATTATTGAGCTATGGTAGCCTCGTAGTTGATTTGTGGTTTGCAGTACGTCTTCCTGATTTTCCAATGCTTAAAATGCATGTGTTTTTTCTGTTCAGTTCCGTCTATTTTTCCATTTGTCAATCAAATGATCATGATGCTTTTGTCAGTAAATGAAACTTCGTCGAATGTTAATAGGTTGGATATTCATTAAGGTGAGTTGCGATAGCTTTTGGTGTGGTAGTGGTTACGCAACAAAAATCAAGTCTTCGCAAAAGGACATAAAATGAACTGAAAGGGACTGTTGATAAAAACGAGTGAAAATTGTGGATAATATTAATGAGTGAAATAATCCTCGTGCATTTTTTTTCGAGAGTTTTTCTAAATCAAACGAGTTTATCCAGTTTTGATTAAACCGGGCTCCTTTGAAATAAAATGTGAAAAGATGTATCGACAATCCAAGCAGTAATTTTAACCCAGAAAATCGAACATTAAACTAGGCTAACAGTAACCATGATCAATACAAAGAAGTGAAATACAATTATCTGATACAATTAGTGCTAGATACAACACAATCTCGCGATATAATCGGATATTGAGGTGTTTCTTCCGGGAGGCAATAAATCCCACGGTGCCTATAAATCACTCTGCACTGGAACTTTGAGATTTTTCTTAAAGGGTCCCCAATCCCCGGCAGCTGAAACCAACTTCAATCGGCGTATTTTTCAATGCTGATTCCGAATCATCCCACATGATATAGCTTAAGCTATAGGTTAAAACGCTTCCCTGACAAGTTATCTATATCAGCGAAAGAACTGTTTTGATCACGTGAAATGGCTATTTAAGTGTAAATGTTAAGTCAACTAACTCATAACTTCCTGTCTCATTATTGACCCAGCCACTCGTGCATTAAATAGTTTTTCCCGACCGAGAGCTAAAGCCTGGATTAGGGGACAATTTAATCTTCAAATGTTTAACTTTATCATTATGTATGTCATCACTCATGAGGGCAACACAGCATTACCTATAAGTATAACAAAAGAATTACCTGTAACAAAAGAAAATACAATATTTTCAAAACTTTCCTAAAATCTTCATGAAATTTACAAGCGGATTTTGTTACAATTGCATTATTATATACCTAAAACTCATATACACCCTTAAACATTTCCCACGCGTATCTTGATTCTTAAATATAACGCATAAAATTCAACATCAACAAAAAATGACCCAGCGCGGGCCTGCTGCCACTTTCTTACCATAGGTCTGAGGTCATTCACATCATGTGTTTCACTGTTAATTCAGAGCCGTCAGCCGCGCCAATTTTGTTGTGAATGACCTTAACCTACGGTTATTCGTAGAGCATAGAGAAGTGAGTAAGATCAGCAAACTGAGAGCAAAATACAATAAAAATGTTGGCTAGTTTGAAATATTTTCGGTTTAGAAGCTGATTTATTTTTAAAACAATATTAACATCAAACCTAAATATATTGCATTGCTTTGTTTCACAAATACATGTACTACAATTTGCAGTATAGCCATTAGTGAAATAAAACGAATTCTACGGGTTAAATAAGAGTGAGAATGAATTTAAAGCATTTTCTTCAATATTTGGGATGTCAACAGCAATTTGGGGTCGTTTACAATTCACATGTTATTTTTACATGATCACTGAGGGAGAGGGAGGCCGGGTTACTAAATGATTTCGCTAAAATGCTTTCAGACTTGAACTCAATACCTATGGGTAAAACTGATCACAGAGCGGGGTTAAAAATTGGTCAACAAGTGATTAGGTATTATCCCAAACCCAGGATACATGACATAAAAGATTCGTTTTCACTTGTTCGCATGAAAAGCATTAATATGAACGACCCATTTCAAGGTTTCAACCCTATGAGTATTGCTGAAAGCACAGTGTAAGGCCTACACGGACCGCCTCTAACTAGCCAATCCCTGTTTACATGCCGTGTAGCAGGGGACTAGAAAGAGCTAAACTAGTAAGCTCTTAATAATAAAAAACATTTACAGTTCATCAGCTCAACATATAATCTCATCTATCTGAATCTTACAGTAAATACTGAGGAGGTGGAACAAGTAAATCTAACAAGGGGTCGTTCACATATTACGTAATCACTTTTTGTCCAATTTTTAACCCCCCGGCCCCCTCCCCCTCCGTAATAATTTTTACCCATAGCTATTGTGTAAAAATTACAATAGCGTAATCATTTGGAAACCCCCTTCCCCCCTCGGCTGATTAAGTAATATTTGAACGACCCCCAAGTAAGACTAATACATAATCAAGGGTCGACCGAGGGCAGGATTTGCGACCGAGGCCGAGGAAATTTTGCCGAGGTTTCATTTTGTTGGCCGAGGAAAAAATCAATATTCCTCGGTAAAACCGAGGCCGAGGCCGAGGACTCGGTCGACCTTTGCAAGTGGAACAATTTCGCCGAGGCCGAGGAATAGCAACTTAATTTTTAACCGAGGCCGAGGCAAACCGAGGAATTGTCCTCCTAACCGAGGCCGAAGCCGAGGAAAAATCGCTATTCCTCGGTAAAACCGAGGCCGATGCCGATGACTCGGTCGACCGTTGTACATAATAGTAAAATACTCATTGGCCGTTGCTTTTAAGTAACATCGAACGCTCCAAATAACGCCAAGTTTTTCATTGAATTTGTTAAACCTAATTACAAATTGGAAACTTCACTCCTCGTTTTCGAGCTGTTTAAAAACACCTGTTCATTTTAAAAACTGATCCCCTAAATTCTAATTTCCCACAAAGTCTCTACGTCCTTAAATCACTATGGTTTCCATTAACAGATACAACAGGTGAGTCTGAGTTGCAAATGTCCCCTGAGTCTACAATAGATACGTCCAGAGCAAGTAGTCTCTGTTCTATCGACTCCTGAGTTGGTTGGGCCCGGTGAGTATTGACGGAACTGTCCACTCCAAACGTTATCTCTTCTTTCTCGCAACCGTATCTGAAAAAGAAGAAAGGTTAGTACCTGAAGGTGTACATCCTTCTGTATAAAGATGGGTGGACTAATCACGTTATCATATTGTTTTTCATAACTTACGAGACAATGTCAATTCCCAATTCCCATGATATTTGCAGTATTTAATGGACGATTTTTTCCATCGCCTAAAAAGGCAATAGATGGTTAGAAGTGGTAGGATTTGAGAATGGGTATAGTGGGTATAGGTTTTTCGTCGTGTCACAAAGCAAAACATGCATTAACCTCCGCAAACACGTGCTCCTTTACAAATTATCTTTTGATGGTCGCGCGCGCATTTTACAATGCTTTTATGTCAAGGTGTACTCTATACCAAGAATCGAGCTAATAAATCGTGTACGGCGCGCATGTATATCTCTTTTCGCTATTATACATTTTGATTCGCATTGATATTTGTCGTTTAAGCTTTCGTTAACTTCATGCGATACAAACTTCTCATTTTGTTGTGGGTGCTTGGTGCAACCCGATATTAGTAATCCGTTATGTTGTTGTATAAATTATGATGTTATGACTATCATGTTGAACATGATTGCCCATAGATTGATTCATTATATTTAGACGAAATGAACGATACATTTTATTATGATTCACATTGTATTAACTACCACAGATTTTATTGGGTGACATCTGTCCGACAGTCGAATTACCGGTTTCGGACAAGAGTCGCTGTCAGATAGGAGTCGTTTTTGGCGACATCTGTCCAACTTTCGGATCACATTTGCAATTTCAGATCACGTTCGTATTTTACAAGCTCACGTGTAATCTTGTGACGTTGCTCCCACAGTCCTAATATAATGCTGATTTGATCCATTGAGATCTGATCCATCGATACGTGATTGACTATTTGAGGACAGGATCATGCTAGCCGTACACTAACAAGCTGTAACAAGCTGCCAATCACATCACAGCCTACATTACACACAGGAGAGCGGTATGGAGATCAGTTATTTATATGAGTATTGCTGAAAGCACAGTGTAAGGCCTACACGGACCGCCTCTAACTAGCCAACATTTAAACTATTGTCCAATTTTTGACATCAAATGAAAATAAACTATGGTAGAGTAAAGAGTTCAGCTCAGGTCATATCTCAGTTCAGATCATGTCTCTAATTGGAAAATGGAAATGTGTCGTATTGCAATTAGATCACAATTTCGGACAGATGTCTTTTTTTTCTGGTAACATATTGAGTCGGACAAGAGTCGCTGTCGGACAGATGTCCTTTTAACTGCATCATGCATATCACCGCACAGGCTGCGCTACGGTGTCCGGTCGTTTAACTTTCGATTCAAATAATTGACAACGGCAATCCCTCCATTTTGTTCTCTGTAACGCCCCAAAGAAATTTGGTAATTTAACCAATATGAAACGATTGTTAATTGTAATTAATTACGGGCGATGGAAATCTAGCGTCCGCTAACCGGCGCAATTCTTGTTAATCGTTACTTTTTAGTCGTTACAGCCTTCTAAACAGAAAAAATAAGAGAATTACATTCGATATTACACATCAATTGATCTGGTATTACTTTCTGACTATTAATCCTTTTTCCAACTTACGCTACTGGAGTTATCTTGATGACGGTATGCAGGGGTATCTTAATGTAAGGTATCTCTTCAGTTGATAGGTTGAGGAAGTAGCCAACAACACATCTCAGCACAGCTTGGTGGCAAATTACCAATATCTGAATTAAATATTATGTCAAATATCTTGTCTATACGATACAAATTAAATGATTTCTGTCAAATAACATATATCTTTACAATCTGTAGAAATCGACTTTTGAACCATATTGAGAAACGTAGAAAAACAATAAAATTCATATGAACCGTGACAAATCGGATACGCTTATCGATTAAGATATTGGAAGAAAATAAATAACCTGATCCTGCTTCTCAAGATCCATGATAATTGGCTCCAGTCTACAGCAGATATCCTGATACGATTCTCCTTGAGGGTACCTGGGGAGACATGATAATGAGGGGGTGGGGTGGGGGTGGAGGTGGGGGTGGGTGGGGCGAGGGGGTTTAAGTGGGATACTCATTACTCGCAAGTCATGATCACCATAACCCACATTATTAACAGCAGGAAACTATAGACAGTTGTGAGTCGGTTTGTCAACAATACACCGTGACTGTTTAGTGTAAAATCAGTTCCTACCAGTTCAGCTGTTTGAGTGAAAAATTTAAAATTTCCAACAACAATTTGTAATTTCTTAAAAATTTTGAATATATCCGGGTCACGTGATAAAACCTGTAATTATATTTGTCCAGGTCTCTGAGAGCAAACTCCTCCGGATACAGATCCTCTATCTCTTCGTAAGTTAGACCGTCACATCTCCCAGCGTCTATCTCGTTCAAAGATTTGTACCTGAGCAAATTTCAGTTAATTCTTGTACTTTTTTGGTTACATATTCAGATACATTTTGATTTTTTTCCTTTCGACGAAGTCAGGTATTAATTGATTAGAACTGGCATCAAGTGAGGTCTGCTAAGCTCGGAAAAATGAGCGCTAATTTTGGTGATAAGGGAGAATATGCCCAGCGATGAAGGGGCTCAAAGGTGAGTAGGTGTTCTCAGAACTGACCTCTGGACGTTTTGGTTAGGAAGATGGGAGCATGTCTCGATAGTTCTCTTCATAATACTAGTCCACACTGGAACATCCGTAAGATTGTTCTCCTGGACAAATTTCCCCAACTTCTTTGCGTATCTTATACCGTTTTCCGTTAGATTGGTGTCCCCTGAGTATTTATTCCGATATCATCATAAATATAACTACAAACAAATTAAAAATGGTTACACAATATTGGTTGTGTTGAATTTTAATTTTCTAAGTTACCAACAAATAAATAACTCGTTATCCATAATAGATTGATGGAACAGCGTTATAGTTATGTAGTTATATGCAGAGCAAAATATTATCTTACCGCCAATTTTAGCTTCTGCGTTGAACTGACTCTCGCCGTGTCGTGAAAGGTAGAGCGTAGTTTTGGTATGAGGTCGGATATTCATCAGGAAATAGGCAGACTTCGACTGTACCGTACCTATCGTATAATTAATAAGAATTACCAATAAAGTGTCGACGCACAAAATGGAATTAAGAAATAATATACTATGTTATCTATGTTTTTGTGGTAAACGGTCTACTGTATCATTTGCGGTTTGGATATCAATGTTTTAAAATGAAAACCCTTCCTCCCAACAGCATATGAAACTGTTATACATGAACGGCTACAATACATGATATACATGATTAGTAAAAGAGACAAACAACACTAATATGATTGGAGCGAAGTCGCGCCTAATTATCAACTAACACTCCTTCATAATACGTTCCAACTTATAACATAAGCCCAACCAAAAGAAGAAAATACGTCAGCTGGAACTAAAATTGTAAACAAGAAATGTGGTGCAAGATAAATATACGCTTTATTTATAGAATAATTGTGCACGTATCTGACAAATACAATGTGCAACTGTGCAGCGTACTAATTAGGTTGAAACGGTGTACTCTGTCTTTATCAAAACCAGGTACAACTTATCGCGGTACAAATTCAATGAAATACAAGAATTATTCTAGATACGTTTTATTGAGGGTAATTCCTGGAATATTCTATAATTTTCTGATAGTACGAGGTTTGCAAAAATTTAATTATATTTTGAAAATTTCATTATGATTTGTAAATTCGGTACTGAAGCAACTATGGATATAATATAATAAGGATTCTTATGACTTTTGTACGTCTTGCAGTGTAGGGTATGGAAAGGTAAAGCAATAATGTGACGAACGGTATTGGGGGAGCTTATCAACAATAGAATTATAAATCAGAAAATTCGAGTTTGTAAACATGGGGTATATCTTGGAAATTTGTTTATATTTCCTGTTACTCGGGGTAACGCGTGATGGCGGTTTACAAATTTGACGTTGCCAGTTGCAAAGGTTTTCAAAAATCAAAAACTTACATCATGACTTACTGGCGAGGTTATTGATGTGAAACTGAGTGATATTAGAAACTCTAATAAATGACAGTTCTCTATCCAGATTAAGACACAGTGCCTCGTAAGCCTTTTTGTAGTTCTGGATCCGTTCTGAGAAGTCCTTGAAAGCTGCATCAGGGTCACATCCCTGGTAGTCCGGACAACGGACCTTGTGCTCCTGAGGGTTATACAGTACTTTGAACACAACGGACCTTGTGCTCCTGAGGGTTATACAGTACTTTTAACAGGGAAGATAACGGACCTTGTGCTCCTGAGGGTTATACAGTACTTTGAACACAACGGACCTTGTGCTCCTGAGGGTTATACAGTACTTTGAACACAACGGACCTTGTGCTCCTGAGGGTTATACAGTACTTTGAACACAACGGACCTTGTGCTCCTGAGGGTTATACAGTACTTTAAACAGAACGGACCTTGTGCTCCTGAGGGTTATACAGTACTTTAAACACAACGGACCTTGTGCTCCTGAGGGTTATACAGTACTTTAAACACAACGGACCTTGTGCTCCTGAGGGTTATACAGTACTTTGAACAGGGAAGATAAAAAGAGAAACCAATACGGATAACATAAATCACTGCAGCTAGACTGAGACTGAGAAATAATTTTGTTTCAAAAACTTTCATGTACTGAAAACAGTGAAAGTTTCGCAAGTTTAAATAGTTAACAGTTGAACAACTTTTAAAACTGCACTCAAACCCACCTACCCTAATATTCATCTCCTCAATCTGAACATCGTCCAGTACACTCTCAATAAACAGGACCTGGATACCTTCTGGTGTGATCTTCTCTAGAATGAGATCCCTGCGGTCCCGAGTCGTGTTCGTTGCGTCTAGAATCTGAAAAAGGGGGAAAATCAATATTAGAGGGGTCGTTATTTTATTATGTAATCACGGATGGGAGTTCGACTGGGGAGGGAGGGGGTTTCTAAATGATTAATATTTATGCTGTGTGTATCTAATCATCATCAGTTATATATTGCATTTGGAAACGAAGGGAAACACGCAATGTTAGGCTTCAATCCTTCGTTAATAAACTAAATCTTTAGAGCCTATAAGTCCCCCATAATCAGTTATTATTTTGATTACTCACTTATACATTTTGATCACGAAAAACCCCTAAGCTACTAACACTTCTAAAACTTAAAATTGAAGTTTTGCAGGCTCCATAAATCATATTCTACATTCAAAGAAACCATGATTAACTTGGCGCTCAAATTAGTATGTTAATTAAAAACTACCTTTGGAGCCGTTGAAACGCCTCACATCATAATAAATTACTAAATTACTTGGTCCGCCCGGTAATTACAGACTACAAAGAGAGGATGCATATCAAAAAAGGAACCACGGAGCCCAACTCATTACTGCAGCTGTCTGCAGCTTTGAGAGGTTCCTTGGATCTTGTGAATAATCATTAACCTGGTTAGTAAGCGGCGATAATATATTACTGTGATCCTTTACCCCCCCCCCCCCCCCCCCCTCAGACTGCTTGACGATCTAAATGCTAATAAGACAAGAAAAAAGGAGTTATATAGATGTAGCAGCTATTGTCAGATGAAAACCTGCCGTTCAATATTTAACAACCCAGAAGGTAGATGAGTTATGAGGGTCCGGGTGAGAGTCTTCTTATTCTTACTGGCTGGCTGGAGGCATGAGCAGATATACGGTGTTGTGATTGGGTGGATCCACGTAAAACCACGTGGTAAGGGTCTCGGCACAATTAGCTAGCACAGTTCCTGCCCTCATTTCTCATTAGCTCAGTTCAATTAAACCGCTCAATATTTCGGTTGTTGTAAAGTAAAGTAAGTTCAAAGACTAAGAGAAGACAGCAGAGATCGTTAGAGAATGGCGAGTTCCTGCTTTCTTATCTTCCTTGCAGGGGAGATAATTAGAACTACTGCTGTAAATGAAGGTATTCATTAATAATATTTTAGTGGGCGACATTCTTACAATTCTAAGAATGAACTATGGGCGACGTTCTCACAATTCTTTTACAATTTTGCTAGAACACCTCTTCTTTAAATTCATGATAACATTAATCGTTGCTCAGTAGTCAAGAGTTAAACATACATTTAACAGGTTGGTTACCAGTCGAACGTGAGGTGGAAATAGAGTGGGATCTTGAGTCGACACCTTTAGAAGTTAAAACCAATAGTGTGCTGGGGAGTGACGATCAAGTGGCTGTGTGGCTCTACTCTGCTGGGGGAGAGTTTGCAGGAGCAGTCGGCCTCTGGTTCTTCTCTACTCCACAATGCTGGGTATCCTGGTGCGGCACATTCTGGATTAACCTCCCTGTTAATCCCCCCTCTCCTACTGACAAGGTTTGGCGTATCACTCTAACCAGAACTGCAGGTGTCAGACTAGTGATACACTGTAACGAGGTGGAGGTGCTCAACATACTGCTCTCTCAATCAACTTGTAGTGGCAGTGACTGGAGCACGTACTGGAATAGAGACGTGACAAAGATAAAGTTCTGGTCCGTCGACACAGCATCTGATTACTACGGACCACAACCAGGTGCAGAAATACAATAAGTGACAAGTTTCATTAAGTCAGAACTCATAAGTAGATAAGTCAAGTTACAGTAAAACCTCTATATACCAGGCCAAACAAATACACTGAGAGCTATGATAAGTCACCCTTCTTGCACAAAACAGGATACCCGGTAAAGAGAGGCACGGTATATAGAGGTTTGACTGTATAACTTAACTAAAATAATGCCCAACAAATATGATAGAAATAAGATTCGGCAGTACTCTATTGTACTAACAAATCAAATTTGTTTTCCAATCTGGTCTGTAATAACTTTGCCAGAATTCAGCTTTGCATTGCATATTCGGTGATATCATCACAGTTGGAGTTTACCAAAAACTTTCCTTGTATAACAACATAATATACCACCTTTTAATAAGATGATTAATGGTTGCATTGGCACACAGCAAAAAAGTTCAATCAGGCAAAACTTTAAGTAAGAGTTTCTTCTTCTAATATGAATACATTATTGATCATTCGTTTGTATTTCAGAATGCAAAGTGCTCGTCATACTAAATGCATCACCCATTGAAAGGGTGAACGTGAACACTGACGTCACTGTCACATGCTCCGAAGGGTACATTCTGAACGGTCCGGGGGTGGTCACGTGCCAGTCAGATCAATCCTGGTCTTCAGTACCTCAATGTGGTGAATAAATTTGGAAATATTTTGTTTGCTGATAAATTCGAAAGGGGAATTTTTTGAATGATCGGCCCATACCATAAATTATAGAATACCATAATATGACTCTAACTGACATAATTAAATTTCAGTAAAATTGATAAAATAATGAACTTAGATATACATAATATTATGCACGACAGGTGCGTAAATTGTTAATTTTGAATCTATTCCAGAGCCTTGCCGAGGGGGAACGTATAGATCAGCTGACTCAACAGTTTGTGTACCATGTGATGATAACACTATTAGTTCTGAGGGAGCCAGTCAATGTGATAATTGTGGGGAAAAACAAGTAGCGGAAGATGGGAACACCAAATGTGGTAAGTTTCCATTAATATATAAGTCAAAATATATTTCAATAACGTCTTCATAACACGAATTTTGTTCCTATGTGAAGCCTATCACAGTATCACAAAGACTTACTCAAGATAGTTAATTAACCCTTCAAAATAAGTCCAGTGTTTACCCTTGAAAATGTTTTCAGCGGGGCGCTGTGAAAAGGAAGAGTTAGACAAGAAGTTTGAAGTTCCCTCTGCCCTGAACGAAACAACTGCGGAGACCACTGTTGTTAACGTAACGTGTGTCAGACCTAAGCGCTACGTTCTGATGGGCGAAACAAGCATCACGTGTCAGCATACTGGTACCTGGTCCCAACAACCACAGTGTAGAAAATGCGGTAAGCATCTTAAAATAATGCTTTGAAGATTTTTGGATTCATTGACATAAAAGAACAATTAATATTAATACTTTATAATGTATACTATTTAAGTTCACCTTAGCCCCTTCTAACTACTTAATCGGGAAAAGCAAACTACTGAAGCACTAGGGCTGTATTAAGGGTTTGCTTTTCTCTCTTATTCTTTCCATAATCTGTTTGTAAGTTTACAATACATTTTTACGAGCTAATTGTAAGTTCAGCAATTGTAAACGAATCGTGAGTATTTCGAGATGGGGGCCAACCTGACTCAAGGTAATTACACATTTACCAAATTTAGCCGTGCAAAAATTGTGTATGGTAATTTAAAAATCCTTGAATCCTTATATTGTAATTAAAAGCGATAACAAATAACTTCTAATTTCATTCTGAAAGTATATAGTGAAATCGTGTTTATCAATTATTGCAGCTGTAGTCAGTTGATAACAACTTTATAACCTGACTATCATTTCAGGTTACCTTTAGAGAGTAGAGACCCTGAATCCTGATAAAGTCACAGAACTTTAAACCTTAAGGCATTTGAGAACTCTGCTGAAAAGACCGCAACACTCTTATCAGTTTAATGAACTATGATCACATAAAATTATGAAGACGCTGGACCTATTTGTATGAAACTATTGTATTCAAGAACTTCTTATGAAGTCAGATAAAAAAAGACCCTAGAGTTTAGACTTTTAGATATAGTGATAATGCAGTGAAAAAAAACTGTGTATCTTATATTAACTAAATTTGCACAGTCCCGAAATGGTAACGGTGATTACAAATATTCGCACTAAATAGTCTAGTTGTTTATAAATAAAGACTTTTGAATTATTGATAATGATAAATTATGAACTCGTAATATCTTAGAAGTTGAGTGGGAAAACTTTAGCAAGACGAGCAATTGCAATCTTTAAGACGTACTTTTCTTTGCAAAGATTTCCGATGCATAAAATTTCCTAATGTATATAAACATAAAATTGATAGTTCTGTTTTACCGAATTATTCAGGGGTTTCGCGGATCAATTGAGACATCATTTTCGTGACCTAATATCTTAACTTCTTAAGATGTCCGATGTTGTGTATCACGATTCTTGTATTTTTATTTAATATTCATTCTTCTGATCCCGGTTTTCGTTATATATATTGATTATGTTAATGTAATTTTTAGACCATATCTATGACGTGTTAAACCGATTACGGAAGGGACTAAAAAATTTTTTATTCCACATTTTTCAGAGCATTTCTTTAGGAAGAGGGAAATAATTTATGGCAGACTAGTGTACGGTAATGCGATCGTCCCAAGTAAATTGAGCTTTCTTTCGTGAAAAAAAAACTGAGATTTTTTGGTAACCGCAATCACGAAACTCATTTCATATCAAGCTAGTTCAATAACCCATTCAGATAAAAAGGTTGAAAATTTACCCTGTCTCGTTGATTTGGGCGTGGGAAAGTACTTAACTAATTACTGCACATTTTTATTGTAATTTCAAGTTTGTAACCATGCGGTGGAGTCAGCCCAAGACTGCAATTATAGTGAATCATTTCTAAATTTCTAATATAGCTATATTATATACTTTGTGAGAAACGAGGAAGCTGATAATAGCTGCTTTATATGCAGCCACCTTTGTAATTGTATATAATAACCTGAATTTTCTTGCTTATTTTTAGCCACTTCTAATCAAATTCATTTAAATCCAATTAAATTGATTGTGATATTCACGCCATTAATTCGAGATCGCGTTTATACCATTTACAGCGGAATCCATTCAGACATCTAAAAGAAGCAAAGCGTGTTCAGAATTGGCATAATATCCGCAGCCCGCCCTTGTAATTGACACACGGAAAGTAAGCCACGTGTCTTGATATAAGTCACGTGACCACTACTCAGAGCGTGGTTTGAGCGAATGTGCACTGTTGTCATGACATCACGTGACGCCCACACGTGCATCGGGTTGTATAGCTGTAGTTGATTTGTGTATTCACTTTGCAACCATGACCAACCCATCTTGTTTTTATGACCGATTCTTGTCTTTGATAACGCGATCTTTGCAGATGTTTAATTTTAAGAGGAAAAGCAAAAATAGTAAGTAATACTTTGTATAGATTAGCGATTTTCTTTTTAAAGAATCAATGAATTGTTGTTCAGCCTATTTTAGTCTTTTGCATATTATGTACGGGTGAAAATTAACTTCTAAAGTAACTTTAGGACAGATTGGCGTTAGTTATTCCGTGATCTGATTGAGATTTTCTTTTGTGGTTCATCATTTTTATCCAGTTCAAAGCTGTCATATTTTTATTCTAAAAATACCACCTGCATACTATACATTATACAAGTAACAAATTCATTTCATTTTGCACGTGCACTATATGTTACTACCCGCTGTTTGCACTTGCACTACATGTTACTACCGCGCTGTTTGCACGTACAATACTTGTTACTACCTCACTGTTTGCACGTGCACTACATGTTACTACCCACTGTTTCATTTTGTACGTGCACTATATGTTACTACCCGCTGTTTGCACGTACACTACATGTTACTACCCTGCTTTTTCTTTGCACGTGCACTACTTGTTACTACCCCACTGTTTCAGGGGTTGATCCACAACCAGACGAGAGCCCACCAAGACAAGAGGAGCTGGAGGGAGTCATGATATTTCGGAACCCTGTATTCGAACCTATAGCAGGGGCAGAGTCAGACTTTATAATGAGCATTCAGGGTAGCTAGCTGATGGGCCATTGGGCCGTGTCCTTAATAAAAGGGTTTCGGAACCTTGACGTAGTTCCTTTTTCGATCTAGAGAAACGAATCAGAGTACATCAGATTTAGGAGTGATTATCTATGAAGGCAAAATAACCCTGGCTTGTCATATTATGGCACAGTTCTGTTTTCAAATGCGGAGGACTTAGCAGGTGAAGAATTTGAGAATGAATATTAAAGATGAAAGATGTGAAATATAGATTGGAGCTGAGAGAAAATAGTTGTTTGGATGATGGAAATGATAGTATTGTCAGTTATTTTACAGTTTCATATACCGATTGTGACATGTGTTATTATAAATATAACTTTATAACGATGTTCTGTTGATGCATGAATTTTTAATGCAGTTTGTAAAAATGGTTGCCAACATTTGGGCTCGTGTCGATTTTAGCTCTTTTTAATTTTCTTCGTTGATTTAATTTTATGAATTCTTAGTTTACTGCTCCCTTTTATTTTAAAGACAAGAATTTCAGCATTAATCTATAAATTATGCATTTAAATCTGTGATACATGTATTTTGATAGTAAAATCTAGAAAAATCTGAATAGATATTCAAAGAGCTTTCCAGTTTCGAGTCAGTACATTACGATCAGGAAATTTGTAATCCGAGAATGTTGTCTCTATTGTCTATGATAAAATGCTCCATTGAGTACATGACGTCATCATGTATACAATATATTGTCAGGAATGTAGCTTACTAAAGAATATAGATAACCCTGGGCCTGAGTGAGATTAAAGGTTTATCTGCACTGAGCATGGCTCGATCACCCATTTTATGTTTAAATACCATAATGTACATTGTACATTTTCAATGACAATATAAATTTAGCGCCTTTACTTTTAACAAAGAGAAATATATTTTTGGTTAATCGTGTCCAAAATCAATCATTTTTTGGTTAATTGTAGTAGATTATTTTACTCAAAATTTCCTGGGCCTCAAAAATTCCCTTAGCAAGACAATATTATCCGCGTTTTATTTAGTGACAAATGAAAATAGAGTTGATGTTTAATAATCATAAATCAGTAAAAACAACAACACAAAATGCATGAGAAGTAAAACAATCCAAATTCGAACCCAGGTATATCTTCAATTCTTCAAACTAAAAAACAAGAAAACACCAGTAAAGCAGCCCAGGAGCTCGCTGTAAGTCCCACAGCAGTACTCAGACTCCCCACACACAGTGGGGCCGGGTCAGTCCAAACCTGCGCGGCATTGCACGTGGTCGCGCTACTTCCCACTAGGGCGAACCTGTCAGGGTTTGTGATTAAGTGATTAGGAATTGTTTTTTTTTTAAAGTTGTAACATTTGCAGGAATCTAATAAAAGCTTTCCATACTATGAAGTGCTGTTAGTTACATTCAAAGATTGAACGCATGGCTCAATCCAACATCTAATTAAACAGGTGAAGGATCCCTTAAACATGTGATTAAACAGGTGAAGGGTCCCTTAGACATGTAATTAAACAGGTGAAGGGTCCCTTAGACATGTAATTAAACAGGTGAAGGGTCCCTTATATTAAACGAACCCCTGTAGGCAGAACCACTGTATCACATCTCCCGATACAAAGGGGGGCCTCCCTGCCGCTGGTCTGCTGCTAGTTGCTGTCAGGTACGGGGCCTGCTCTGTGATACCTTTCTTTATGTCTCCTGGGGGAGGAATCATTCTGTTTCCTTTCACAAATTGAGGTTTAAATATACATACCATAATCGGGGTTTTACTTTAAACTTTTAAATGTATTTCCATTTCGAGATAACCATTAACCAATAATGTACGAACAAACCAGATAACATAACCCAACCTGTGATATCCTTACAGCCCGGAACACAATGTACTAGATCAGTATATCCGGGATGCCAGCCCGTCTCCGTACACCGGGTTTGTGTGTAGCCGGTATTTCCGTACGGAACTGCGTACCCGTCCTTTAGATTACGAAGTCAGGATTTCGGGTTTTTAAAGGACAAGTGGGACAAGTGGGCTCACAACATACATTTGGTACGTGATTACACACGTACAACATACATTTGGTACGTGATTACACACGTACAACATACATTTGGTACGTGATTACACACGTACAACATACATTTGGTACGTGATTGTTCAAAAGAGTTGCTAGGATCCTGCATGGCTGGATCGTTAGCCCGGTCAATTGAATGGACATGTCATCCTAATCTTATAGCGTAACCAGTATAAACGGAATAAGATTAGGATCGCTTAATTGTATACTTGCAATAAGTACAAGCAAAGATAGATGTATATTGTATATTGCATGATATTTTTTATCAATATAACCTAATATTTAACTAATTTCACAGCTACAAATAACTACATTTATTGTAACAGTTCACTGCTTAACTTGAAAGTGTTCAGCCCTCCAGGATATCATTTACATTGTCTTGCTGTCAAGTAATAATATTATAAATATAATATTATAAATTGTTATAATACATAATAAAATGACCTGGCAGGTAATGTTGGCTGTCCTGTCCAGATCGAATGTGATGGGAGTTTCACTCTCCAGAACAGATACGGTAGAGGGTGAATAGGAAACTGACCAATAGTATCTAGCATCCTCTGGTATCGGCGTGCAGCCCTGAGTATTGCATCCAGTGAGACAGGGTTGTGGGTATGTGCATTGGCTGGACGTTCGAGGGTTGAATTTGCAATTAATTGAGTTTGAACAGGATATCATCAACTTAATAACACCAGAATGTGTGTCTGTCTGTGTGTCTGTCTGTCTGTGTGTAATTTCCGAACGGTTATACAAAAAAACGGTAATAGTTACGGGACTGGTTTTTCGGTAGTGCTGACAAAACTCTGACGAAGCCCATAAGCAAATTTTATAAAAATCGGCCGGTGGTAAGTGGTTTAATTGATGATTTTGTTCCAGAAATGTGACATAAATGGATGGGAGAGAGAACGAGGAGGATAACATGTACCGTAATTAGTTTAGCCCCACGTAATTACGCGTAATACTATAAGCTTAGAGCGCACTCTTGCGGCCGCTTTGTTTCAACTGTAGGGAGATTTCATACTTTCATAAGACAGCGTTATGCGTGATATCAAATATATAATGCGGTTGTATACTTTTACATTGCAACTGTGACAATAAAGTCCCGGCCGAAGGCACGGGTTACACTAGTAGAGACAATAATCCTGGGACATAATCATAGCATTAGGATTTCGGGTACAGGGCCATCCTGATATCCCTGGCTCAATCAGGTCTGTATATGAGACAAGAGAAACGTTATCTTAAGGTGCGAGGAGATTCATGGCATTCCTGTAAGATGGGCAGGCCAGCGGTTAGCAAGCCGGTAAAGTAGTCTCACCAGTGCACACCAAGTGGTGATGTCAGTGAAGATGTCGGGGAAGAAACCGTCCGTAGTACACTTGATAGATAACATCCCGTTACCTGTGTTATTACCTAGGGTGTTACCTGTGTTATTACCTAGGGTGTGTTTTTATTGAGGGTATGCACTTCATGAAGTAACTGTTTTAGATTCTAAGATAAGAATTAAGTTGGACCTAGATCATCTTTATTTTTTAAATGGGCAAATAATCCATTTATTAATTTATCGCAGTCTTACCTAACAATTAGGCAACTTAATATTGAACAGGAAGTGTCTGGTTTTACATAATTTTTGGATTTCTGAGAAATATAAATATGTAAAATCAGAAACCTCCAGAAATTTTTTGCCTACCATTTATTAATTTACCCTTTTTCTAATCTAAAAGATCCTTGAACGAAATTGACTCAAAACTATCATCAACCGAACTGTTGTATTTATACAACAGTATTATATATACTGTTTCACTGAATATTTACTGTTTCACTGAATGTCTCAAATATATATATATCAGAATATATATATTCTGATATATATATCAGAAAAACCGCCGAACAGTTGGATAAAATACCTCGGTCAGGGTTATGATAGTCAATGCTCTCCACCACAACCCCCTCAATACGTCTAATCTTGTTTATGAAGGTCTTGACTTTGTCGTCATGGTTACATTGTACTGTTATAGACTCTTTCAGGTTGAGACCCGTCACGTCTAGTGCCCCACCTGTGTAAAGGTATATGAAGTTAAGGTTACAGGCTTGTGGTATATTGTATATTGTATAAGGGTTCGTAATGTATAACTCAAGTCTCAAGACAGGGTTCTAGGCAGTCGGAATTACAACTATAACTTAAAATAAGAGAAAGAAGTAATCATACACATTACTCACAAGGCTGGTACCACAGTTTTAAATATTGAGTTGCTCTCTCCGGTGGGTATTAATATCATTGATATCAGGTAAAAAAAAGATAACAGTATAATAACCTGTAGTCTGTCTCATCTGGGTCTGGGCCAGAATCAGTCTGTTGTTAGTGCATGACTTTTTAACCCCACCCACCAGGAACACCATAATAACAAAAGCAACAGCGAAGTTGAGAAGCATTCTCCCAAATGTTGTAGGATAGAACCTTGCAGAGGTTGTTAGAATGTGCACGTTTAAGCTACATCAGATTGTAGTCACAAACAGAGAACCATAAAACAAACAATCAGGTATAAACCCCAATTAGACAGTGACTAGTTAAACAAAGACAGGGTTTATCAACTGAAGAATGAAGATACATAGTCTTAGGTACACTACACTGTAGTGTAAGGTCGGTGTACTAAAGTTGCGGCAACCCCGGGTTATTGGTCTCCACATAACACAGACACTACACTATCAAACAAACTCTAAAGTTTGTTTGATAGTGTATTGTCTGCGAGAGGAACTGCGAACCCTGATGCGGGACAGGGATATATGGAGGGGGTTATCTGGCGTAGATCGGACTTAGCTCCGACATAGTAGTAGTAGTACACTATCACAAGTACTGACAGAAATAGGGGTTATCCGACATTGGTTGGTATACCCAGTATTATAGTAGTTGTGATATTAGTCAACAGAAACAGTTCAATTATTGAAAATTTCACAAATTTGTAACTGAAGTATCTATGGTTCGAACTTCTTCATCTATTCGAGAATTACAAAAGTCTTCTCTTTTAATACCATTCGTCGAGTGTACATTTGGTTATAACGAGGCTTACATAAGAATGATTTACGAAATAAGAATATTGTCAGTTTCAACTGATAAAAAATAAGTGTACTCACAGCAACGCTGTTATCAGGATCCGCTTTAAACCAGTCTACAATCGTATCTAGAACATGACTCGCTACCATCCTGAGGGGTTTTACTATATAGGATGATTGCTGACTCAGAGATAGCATCACATAGCTTTTAAAGTTTTAAGAATAAGTTGAGAAGTATAACAAAGTCTAGCAAGGTCCACACTCCAGAAGGTTGAGAAAGCTCTAGAAAGGTTTACAAATAACCAGTAACCAATAGAAACCACTAGTAACCAATAGTAACCACAACACAGCTCTAGAAAGGTTTACAAATAACCAGTAACCAATAGTAACCAATAGTAACCAATAGTAACCAATAAGCCAATAGTAACCACAACACAGCTCTAGAAAAGTTTACAAATAACCAGTAACCAATAGTAACCAATAGTAACCAATAGTAACCAATAGTAACCACAACACAGCTCTAGAAAGGTTTACAAATAACCAGTAACCAATAGTAACCAATAGTAACCAATAGTAACCAATAGTAACCACAACACAGCTCTAGAAAGGTTTACAAATAACCAGTAACCACTAGTAACCACTAGTAACCAGTAACCAATAGTAACCACTAGTAACCAATAGTAACCAGTAAAGAATAGTAACCACTAGTAACCAATAGTAACCAGTAACCAATAGTAACCAATAGTAACCACAACACAGTGCTCATACCTGCGGGACTGGGCTCCGGTAGTGTTGTTAGGATCGTAGTAATCACACGGCATGTTAACTCCAACCAACTCCCTCCGAACTGAACCAACGTTGAAAACTGAAAGGGTCAACTTTTATAATCAGACAACAGTGAGTTGTTATCAAATCTCACTTGTCGAAAAAAAAATCTTTATCCGTTTTCGATTTTTTTACAGTTATTTATCTATATATTTGCTAAAATTGACTTTTTAAAAACCAAAAGAAGATAATATGACAATGAAAGCTCGCGCTCCCCCACCTTTACTCTTGATTCCGATCCAGTTGAGGTACCTGGCAAGCCGGTGGGCTATGTAGGACTTCCCTCGAGCGGGTAGCCCCACCATGGCGTAACATTGCTGAGCACAACTCATAGGGGTACCCCGCGTGTACCTCTCTTTTCCTGGGAGTAAAATATGTTAAAATACGTAAAATATGTATGTTTGATTAAGTTATAATTTAACATTTAAAATATGTTAAAATATGTTTTTAAATATGTCATAATAAGGAGTGTAACAGTTGATTAAGTCAATTTGTTCGTAATTTGTTGCGGTTGATCGTTTGTTTAGAAGAAGAGTCGATATTTGCAGTTTTGTTTTTTACAGTAAAGCAGTTAAGTAGAGTTGAGCAGCCAACATTGTAATATTTCATTAATCTTTGGATAAGACAGCCAGAGGCTCAGGATCGAGCAATGCGCAGATGAAATCGCTCATGACCATTATTTTTGCTTTTCTATCCCAAGGTGTTAAACTTCATTTAAAAAAGCTAATTTTAGAGGTACAGATTTAGGTAATTTCAAAACTTTGAATCGACCGCATAAAACCGACACAACTTGATACAACCTGTCTAAAATTGACAAAATCAGACTTTTTATATCGATTATTATTGTGATAAATTATAAAAACAGAGGGGGGGGGGCAAAAGTCAGTCTGCAAACGTTGGGTCTTATACCTCCACCGTGTTTTATATTTGAGAGTTATTGCTTTGCAGATGGCATACTGTACTTACTTGTTCGAGGATTCCGTCGCCAAAATGTGAAAATTCGAATATTTTAGACCACGCCCATTCAATATTAAAACACCTATATTGTTCTTTCTGAACATGCTGGACGCCTAATTTAATTGGCTGGGTGATTAAGCACACTGACCCCCCCCCCACCCCCCCTCGTATAAAAATTCCAATAATACATTACTAAATTAAATGAAGGTTATCGAATATTATTATGATAACTGTCAAACTTCCAATAATACATAATTTAATTAAATGAAATATGGAGATTACTTAAACCTGAGTGAAACTGTAACCAGATAAGACGACGTTAAGCAGCTCCGTAAAGGAAAGCGTTGTAACTATGAGCATATAAGTACAATCAATACTCATTACTACAAGGCAGAACAATAGTCCTTTATTTAACTTATGAGTTGTGTGTATATTATGGTAACTTAAAGTTTAAACAAAAGACCATTGTGTACCCTCTACCCTGCCCACTATTATCAATAGATATTGTAAACAAAACCCAAACAAAAGTAAACAGTGTTTCAGGGACACGGGTTGTGACGTTACGATTGTTGGCTCTCGTACCAGCCAATCGAATTAGAGTAAAGCCCCAATTTACTGCAGAGTTTGGCGAGGGGGGAGGACAAGGGAGGAGGACACAATGGCGGTACTTTCCTTAAAGGGTGGACACAAGGGCGGATCTCATGATACTCAATTTAACACGTAACGAGGGCGGAACCAGACACCGTCCTAAATAAAGAACCAGTAGTAAACTAGTAACATCACACAATCTTATTTTAACTTTTGTTTATATGCGTCAACCTAAGGTTATCGGGGTTCGCAGTAAGTTGGGGTTTTGTTTCACACATTATGTATGTCCATTTGGGGGAAGGGAATGGCTGCGGAAAATTTGTAAGTGAATGTAATGGGTTGTGAGTATTTTAACCTGAATTGGTCGTTCCAAATCCTGGCTGCATAGCACGGATGCGTCTCACTGATTTATAAAGAGCACGAATAACAATTGTGACATGATAATGCTCTGTACATACAAATCACTCTTCTCATTGTTACTGTGATAACAACATCATGTAAAGATATCGTCATGATTTAAATTATATGAACAAGGTGTGAAGCCGTGATTAACTTACACAGTGCGATAATTTTAATAACTTGTCCGTCATCATGCCTGTTTGTTTGGGGACTGGTTTATTACTTATTAGCCAGTCAATGTTTACGAATATAATAACTTTATTACATAATTATATATATATAACGAAAATATAATAGATCAAATCTTAAAAAGAATATTTGCACAAAATTGATAAATAAAAAATGAAAAAGATGATTTATTGATTTAAACAAAAGATAAAGCACACTGTGCTTCCAACAAAGACTCGTGCTTAGTTTGTTTGGGACTGAGCTAGGATATCGTTCTAAACACAAAAGACAAACGTAAGACACTCTTCAACTTGGCAGCTTTAACTATATATAATATCACGAGTCAAGAGAACAGAAAAACCGCTACGACGAGAAGTGTAGCGTGGATATGTTGGAGTATAAACAGTATTAGTGTTTATAAATAGTGTTTATAAACATTATTAGTACTAATATTATTAGCCTGTGGAAGTCTTAGTAGCCTGTAGAAGATCTCATCTAATGACTCGTGAGATTTGATTAAAATAAAACATGCTGCTGACCTTCGCGGACTTGTCAAGGATGAGTTCTTCCCGAGACCTCCAAATCTTATGCGTTGTGTATATTACTCTGTGAAGCAATCGGCATTTGGCAGAACGAAATGATACGCGAATGATAAATTAGTTTTGGTCTGTGCTATTATTCTTGATTAAAGTAATCAAGGATTAACTATATTATAACTCAGGAAACTTCTCCTTGTTTCTAGAGTAAGCGAAGTGTTCCAGAAGGAACTAACTACAGGCTTCTCGTGGAGATCAACATTTGGTGAGTAGGGTATATAAGTTTCAAATTACCATTTGTCTTTATATCCGGAGTTATATTTATCTTTACATGGAGAAATGGTATAAATTAATTTCAGAATTAATCGATCTAAAATTTTACCCGTCTTGAATAGGAGATTCAGGATTCAGAAGGCTAGGAAGAGTTTTGAGATATAACGAGGGAACACTACGACTAACTCCGGACTAACAACAAAGTGTTAACAGCAATGTGGTAAAGCCAGGACAGCGACGGTACTACAACAAAATTGGTTGATAACCCAAAACTTCTGGAATACACTACATCATTCATCAATAATTAGCAAATACTCAGCACTTGTATTTTAGATCTCAGGTTATTCTAGAATTTGTATTTTTTTATAATTTGTACATTATGTACATTGTATTGTACTGGTAAATTTCATCTCTTGTCATATCTCAGTATGAATAACAGCCGTAACTCTGGCCTAACACATTAAGGATCGCTAATACGGCTTCGAGGAGAAATATTGTATTGAGTACAAACTACAAAGTCCCTATGGCGAACATCGTCACGAATATTTACACGTTTATCATTTGACATCATGCTTTGGCCCAGGCCAGGGTGATGCAAATAACTTCTTTATCAGTGCCATATCGACAAAATGTGGAGGAGGAATTAAAACACAACAAATGTCCTAAACACCGTTCAGTTATCTCTTTAAACCATCCCGAATATCAAGAAATTTTGAAAATCTACAAACAATAATAGAAGTTAGAAGTCTGAACCAATAATATCATCACCTCTTCTGCCGGGGAGATAACAAAACAGAGCACCAACAAACACGAATTACAGGTACATTGACGACTAAATTACTTGTGCGTCAAATGGGCCCCAATAATGTGAATTACCTTGAACAATAAAGGGGGAGTGACGCCGAGGTCCGGGGCTGGAGCTTATAGACATCACCTGACGAGTTGTGATCACGTGGTTACTATGGTCACGTGGTTACTATGGTCACGTGGTTGCTGCACGTGCTAACATTTAGAAAAACTAAAGAGAGATCAACAAATCAAACATAAGTATTGAGGTTTATCATAAGCTACTGGAGGTATTACTGTTCTAGTGATTATTAAGCAATGAGCATGCACTGATACAAGCACATTATCCAAAGTATCAAATTACAATGTTCGAAATTACATTTGCATTTGGATAAGAATAACATTAGATTTCTGACAAAAAGCGGTAATTCGATTTTGATAAAATTAATTAAATAAAGGGTGGTGATTGTACAGAACTTAAGGAATTAATTGACAAATTTGCCTGAGAAAACCAAATAGAGGCACAAATAACGGCAGTATCGAGATAGCCCGACCACTGTCCGCGGACAACTGTCCGCGGACAGTTGTCCGCAGACACCTGTCTACCAGATCATATTACTGTATAATAACAGTATCCCCTGAATCAAGCAACAGGTGTTTGTGAATAGTTGATTGGTTACCAGATCATAATATTGATTGCTCAATGAAATAAATGATTACGATTAAAATGTGGTATATAAGTCGTTCGTTTTTGGTGAAGTATTATCAGTTGCCATCATCAACAACAACAACTATTCCAATTCCTGACATGGTACTCTTCTGTCTAATGGACGAAATTAATGGACCCACCGCCTCCCTAGAGAATGCTCGAGACTTCCTATTCCAGCAAAACCTCGTGAAGAGCTCCATGTCCTGTCCTGGGTGTAATGCATCTATGTCCCTGGTTCCCTGCTCGTCCTCGAAGTCAGGGTCATGTGAACCCTGCTTGACTCAGGGGATGATGTGAACCCTGCTTGATTCAGGGGATGATGTGAACCCTGCTTGATTCAGGGGATACTGTTATTATGCAGTAAAATGATCTGGTAGACAGGTGTTTGTGGACAGTTGTCTGCGGACAACTGTCCGCGGACAGTTGTCCGCGGACAGTGGTCGGGCTATCTCGATACTGCCCAAATAACCCCTCAAACAATAGCGTACGTGTCGGCGCGACTGCTGCAGCAGGCCAACACGTACGAAGGCGTGTATCAGGTGCAATTTGTACAACTACTATAAATTATTATAACACAAACTTGTCGTTCACCATAACGTGTGTTGTTGTATAACTTGTATAATAACACCGCAGTGTTGTTATGAAATGTCAGTTTGTGATGCCAGAAGGTACGGGAATTTGTAGCCATCAGAATCATGAACTATCAAATATTGAGCAAGGAGAGCTACAGTGAGATTATGTTTTATAAAATCAAATTCCACAATAATCCATAATAGTGTTTAAATCAGGGTGGAAAACAAACCAATTCCAATGTTTAATAAGTTTAACTGTCAAGTGTCAAACTCATTAGCAAGATAACTGGGACACCTGCTGAATTTGTTTATCTTAACTTGTAGATTTGTACACCTCTAATTAGCTTAATAGCAAGGTCAGGTACATAGCTGCAGTAACAAGTTTTGTGTATATTTATCCATTACGGAGGGATGACGTGGGATGTATTTCTGGTGCCACTATAATAAAACTATAAAACTACGGGTGGGGAGCGGGGGGGGGGGAGCGGGGGGTATTCGGTAGAAAACAGAAAGGAACTGCTCCAAGTAACCAGATAATCTGAAACTTATAAGACCCGTTAATAAAGGCTGTGTCAGCAGCTAAGCCCTAGTTGGACAAAGAACTTCCCCAACAAGAACTTATCCGACAACGTTACAACGACACCACGCTACGAAGTACGCATACACTGAACAGCTAAATTACTCTTAAATTTGATTATGTGGGAGTGAAGCTATCGGATATCTATGTAGGACCTTGCGTTCCTTCTAGACGATTAGACTACAAAAGAATATGCTTTTGTTACTAGCCAAATAGCTAGTATTTGAAAATTCCAAATCTACCATTCGCAAGTACGGTGATTGATGATTTTAAATCCGCGAATTGTAATTTGAATATTGGCGCCAAACATGACAGACGTTTCCTGTCAGAGGGTATCGTGAAGAAGCAAACTAGAAACGGTCAGCAGAGACTAATACCATGATATTAATATCATGGTATCAATGCTATTGGAGACTGGTCTGTGTAACCAACAGAGTTCAACTCAATCATGCGATTTTGCGAGGACAAACAGTGTAACGAAAGCTGAAGAAAACAGTAATCAAATGCGTAAGACGCGATTTGATGTGAAGTTTAGGCAACATTTGCGATAATCAGTAACTGCAACAAATCCAGAAAACAACAAAAAGGTCCGTCGTGCAAGAATGAAAACAGGATTTTGTCTAAGCGCGTTACAAATATGTGGATGTGATATTGTGGTGAAGACCCATAATTCGGTCAGTTATAATTTTCGACTTTGCGCATTGCGCGCATGGATGTATTAGTTTCGAAATAGTGACGTTACCCAAATATTTATATAATAATGGACAACTCAATGACAATTACATACATCGTGGATCAAATTAGTCCTATAGTACTAACAATGATTCCGATGAGGCGCTTCAAAGTTCAAATCACAAATTTCCACTTATAGAGCTTTTACAAAGTTTGGAATGGAACTACAACTTTTACCACTGGCCTCACCCTGGCCTCACCGTACCTAAATATATCAATGACCTGACTACTCAGTGTTCACAAACCTAACGTTTCCATCAGATTGCCCGAAGCTGTGTTCCTGGTCTTGCCAGTGTTTATGGCAAGCTGCTTCTGTACTTCGAACATAGCACGACGTGGAACAACTGGACTGCTGTACTGATGTCTGCAAATAATTTAAATTTATAAAAATTACAAATTATGATAAATTGAGATTGCTACAGCGATCTCGTTTTAATAATTGTTGCTTTTTAATGAGGACAATCTCTGGCAGAAGTCTCAAATCCAATCAGAAGACCTTTAGGATAAGCAAATAGGGATTTGAGGATAAGATTGTTGAATCTTTAAAAACATGACCGTTACCCTTACTAATATCAACAGTGCTTTTAAAATAGGCGGAACGGAAATCAAATCCATTCAAAACACAGAGCTGCACGGATATCACGTATTAATAAACCTGCAACCAGCAACTTACTTACTAACTATTAGCGTAGTAACTAGTTTTCTTCAGCTCTAAAATATTAGACATTACAGTTAGTTTATTTATAGAATTTCCCGTTTAATATGCAGTATGTATAATCGTACTGCGTGGCATCAGATGTTCACCCACTGTGATCTTCCCTAATTTTGTCGATTATTAAAACACAGCCCACATGTTGGACGGAAGGCAGGTTACCGGCAACCTTTCGGAGACCGGTTAGATACGACTAAACTATATTATGACTAAACTGGTGTAGACTAGATTGAGGTTATTCAGATATTATACACCTGAAGGTATTAAGAAGTTCGAATATGTAAGGATATTCACCGTGTATACTTACACATAAAGTAATCACATTAAGTCTAATAATGTACACATACAGCACGGAGAACGTTGCCGACATTGATTTTTTTGCTTTTGCGTCAGAAAAGTGGCGTACTTTTTTAAAATGACTAGAAGAAGCATCAAAGAATTTGTATTATTATATTCTCCTCCTGGAAAAACTTTTTTTTTCGGTGAAAAAAATCAAAAATTTTCTCGGACATTAAACTTACACTTCCTTATTAGAGACTTTCATCTCTTTTGAAATACTTGAAACCTCCTCTGTCTTCTTGACCATGCTATCTGTAGAAGCTAATTAGTGAAAATTCAGTTAACTGTTGCAAGTGGTAGATAATAAAACTTCATTTCCAAGTACCAATAATTTTTTAGTTGTGGCAAATAAAAACAGAAACCTCGAAGATAAAATTATTGTCATTATTTCCTTTTTCCAGAGTTAAAAAATGAAAGGCACATTTTTCAATAATTATAAATATAAGCATGATACTACATTCTTACAGAGTTACAGAACAATGCTTGTTTATATACTAAAAACAATGTTAATAGAATGCAAGAAAATCATGATGAATGATAAAACATATGACCAGGCAAGCTATCAACGATCACGGATATAATACATTGCCATAATTAGTATCCCGTAAGAGTTTAATTTGAATATTTTGCATGTTTTAATTTGCATATTGAACTTGCACTTTTTGACTTATATTTGTATAACGTGTTACCCAGGGGCATAAAATAAACTAAGATAATGAAAAAAAGTTACTTTTCGTTCTGCGCGAATTCCGATAATAACTTAATAACTATAAATGACTACAGTTAATAACCGGACCAGCTTAAAAATTAGATGCTATAAATAGAATAAGATTGTTTTTACTTTTTTATGCTGAGAAATGCCGGTATCATTTTATCAAACTGGTCCGGTATTTAAACTGGTCCGGGGTTTACTTAATGGGTTTTACTAATCGTGAAAGTTCACTGAGTACACCTGTTAATTACATGTCTAATCTAACTAATTATATAGTAGTCTATCTGACGATGGACTTTAAACTCTCAACTGTCACTAATCTTGTCCTACATGATATGACAGCTGTTAGAAACATTACCAATAACAATATCAATGAAAACAATAACAATATCAATGAACGTAATGATATAATAATATTTTATGTAGAAACAACAAGAAACTTAACAAAATACCAATAAAATGGCGTAACCCCCACGATTATTATTATTCAGATTTCATCCACTATCATTGCTACAATATAGACATTTTAAGTTTATTGTGGACCGTCCATAACAAGACAATAACTGTTGTTTTGAAACTAAGATTATTCTAAACTTATGACGGAATTTCGTCAGAATTTGTACAACACTATTTTTACAACATACTTTGAAATCGAACTGATTTTCTACATTCTCTACCAGAGCAAGCTTAGAATTTGATTTTGTTTTAAACAAATGTATTAACTAACAGGTATCCAGATATACTATAGTTTAAAATACACTTGGTCTGCATAGTGTGATGGGTTACCCGAGCAATGGTCCCTGTTTCAGAATCAAATGTTGATTAATTTCAACCCTACAATTTGGTTGTAATAACTGAGAAAAAGCAAAGTGAAAGTTAACCCCGATGAGCTGTTGATTATCAGTCGGTCCCTGACAACATGGCAATGAATTGGATGAAAACTGTGCACGGCTCAAATAACGACTGAAGACCAAAACAAACGCAAGAGAACCGGTTTAACAAGTTATGTCACGTCGCCTCATAATACGTGGCACATCCTAATAACCGTAGGTTTCTATATTCCTCTCTCTCTCTCTCTCTCTCTCCCTATATTCCTCATAATGAATGTAAATTTCACGCCGGCGGATCAGGACATATAGAAACTGTAGCTCCATGAGGAGTATACGCATTATTGCATTTTATGTTAATCTTGTACACGCATCATTGCATTTCATTTTAATTTCCACCGTGGGTTCTACCGTAGTTCCGTATTGGGTTGGGTTATCTGTCATTATTATTGCGTTATTGATCCTATATAATTTAAATCGTAATTGTAACATTTAAACCAGGTCACATATTATGCTGTTTCGAGCTCTAGTATATTAAAATATGTCAAGATACTCTATCATTCCCAACTTTATATCATATATCCATAATATAATGACTGAACTTCGTTTACAATAATATAACCAAACCTTCAGTAAATTAATACGGTAATACACATAACGTGTCCAACGAGTCTCAGGTCTATTAATAACTCAATTAGCAAAACATCTCGCTAATCAAGGTCACTAATTAACTAATTGCGTAATTAATTAACTACAGCTGTGCCATGTAGAGTCTGAACTTAATGCTCTTTTCAGCTAGCAGATTGTTGAGGTCTAGAGGCTGGACAAGTTTTATCTCGACATAGTCTGATTCGGAGTCTTCTGCTGTGTAGCTATGTCTACTTACCTGAGGTTATTTTGAGGTTATATTGAGGTTATTTTGAGGTTATATTGAGGTTATATTGAGGTTATTTTGAGGTTATTTTGAGGTTATATTGAGGTTATATTGAGGTTATTTTGAGGTTATATTCAGGTTATTTTGAGGTTATATTGAGGTTATTTTGAAGTTATATTGAGGTTATTTTGAGGTTATATTGAGGTTAAAATGATATTATATTCAGGTTATATGAAAGATAATATTCAGGTTGTATGGATCATGTTAAAATGATGTTATATTCAGGTTATACGAGAGGTTATTTTGAGGTTACATGATTGGTTCCCTCAATTCTTCCTAATACTTTATTCGAAACATTGTAATACTTAATCAGAAATCATATCTTTCTTAAATCGTTCTAATCTAACTTTAAATGTTAGAATTGTCGAGTGTCACGTCCGGAGTGAGGAATAACTCGCTCAGTCACACTTTTGGATATTCTTAATTTTATTTACATTCTTACTACAGATCTGTTGCTTGAAACAAGATTAAAACCGGTTCATTCTGAACATCTCCATTACCCGATCCATAATTATCTGTCAAACCACAAGTTACTTTAAAAGCTTCCATTTAAGGTCACCACGTACCGGGCCGTAGTAGCAAGTATTTTTAGGAGATGTCAATATTTAGAGGTCACGATCAAGCTTTGCACAAGAGGGAAAGTATATTTATGGTTTATAATCGGTGATATTTCTCAGTTTCTACTGTGTTCGGAAAATGGCAGTTAAAATGTGGTAAATATGCGTGCAGTTTCAGTGTAGATAAAATAGTAATTATTAACAATAAACATATCAAAGCGAGCGACCGATTTCATTCTCGGTATCATTTTGCATTTTCGGACGGTTATTCAAATTAATATCATTTCCTTTTGTTTGGGAAAGAGACACTGACAGCGGTTCACTCTACTACTATACCCATGATTATGGGTTTTGGTCACATCACACATTCAAATATATTATTCTAAAACACAAGACAGCGCTAAATATAAAGCCCATTTTGGTCAAGATTTTGGGTTAGATGTCCGAGATTTACCGACGGTAAGAATATTAAACGGCTCGAATGATGACGATACAAATCTCTAGACTTTAGAGAACAAAATTTAACGGAAATAGATAATGGATGGGAGTGGAGTTAAGTTGTTCAAAGTAACTCGCATTTTGCCATTATGTTAAGAAAATAGCTGAAAATAGCTGAGTATTTACATTATATATTCGTGTACACGAACTGTTTGAAAATAGTGTACATATATTTTATAAAATTAGAATCGGACCAATGACAGTAAATTTAATCGTTTAATGATGTATTTATGCGATTTACTGTCACTCCTCATTACTGCATTAGTCCATATTTTGATATTTTCTTAATCTATCCACAGACAGCGAGAATACGAGTTAAAGTTTATAAAGGTTTTGTAACTTAGAGAAGGGAGCACAAAAGCACGTACGAATACCACACGATTAGTGTACTATACGCCCATGTAGTATGTACTATATAATGCTGTATAATGGGATGGTTTTAACGAGGTGTGACCAGTCCACACCCTGGCTCCATAACATAAAGCATTTGTTCCACTTCTCGATGAAAAGTTCTTAAAGTATGCTTATTGTATGTAATGTACCCTATATAATAGTGTGCTGTGTGTATACACGGAACAGTGTGTATAGTGTGTATACACGGAACAGTGTGTATAGTGTGTATACACGGAACAGTGTGTATAGTGTGTATACACGGAACAGTGTGTATAGTGTGTATACACGGAACAGTGTGTATACACGGAACAGTGTGTATAGTGTATAGTGTGTATACTCGGCACAGTGTGTATAGTGCGTATAGTGTGTATAGTGTGTATACACGGAACAGTGTGTATAGTGTGTATAGTGTGTATACTCGGCACAGTGTATATAGTGTATATAGTGTGTATAGTGTGTATACACGGAACAGTGTGTATAGTGTGTATAGTGTGTATACTCGGCACAGTGTGTATAGTGTGTATAGTGTGTATAGTGCGTATACACGGAACAGTGTGTATAGTGTGTATAGTGTGTATACTCGGCACAGTGTGTATAGTGTATATAGTGTGTATAGTGCGTATACACGGAACAGGAACGTGTTGTTGAATTGTATCTAATTATAAAATGTGTGTACTGCACGTAACGAACATAAGCGTGTACTGTGTAGGGTATGATTGTATTGTATTAGAGTCTCAAATAAGGGGTTGTATACATTATACATGGGTCTGCTATACATTATACATTTGTCTGCTATACATTATACATTGTCTGCTATACATTATACATTTGTCTGCTAAACTATTTTCACAACTGTATTATTTAATGGTATGGAAACCAGGTTGCTAGTTCACACCCTAGCTCCATAATATGGAGAATTTGTTTCACTTCTATTCTACAGCTAATCTTCATACAAATATTTTTCATAAAATCTGAACTGTTTAAAAAAGTCCATAATCTTGGTATTTCAACACTAAGTCTCGCTTGAATGACTTAAATGTACATCTTTGTTGGGTATATTTTAATGTCGAAGCGTGTAATAAATGTTAGAATTTATTTTATTTAGTATAGATGAAAACTGCCAGTACAATATTTCAGCACATCCAATGTTTACCATGGTGAAACCTAGATACGGTTTACAATTTTAGGCAGTTTAAAAGTTATTTATTACCAATGTAATTCAAATCACGTGCAAGCATTTAGCTGGAATTTGTTTAAAATATACACTACTAGTATAGCATTATCATGGCATCGACACAGGTGGTCGCTGGTCAACTACATACTATATACGTGGACAGTTTATTAAACTGTAAATAAAATAGTAATAAACATATCACACATTCAATATATTATTCTAAATCACATGTCTACACTAATTACAGACTAAAGCCCTTTTTGGTGAAGATAGTGTGTTAACTGTTTAAAGATGTCTAGATTTGGTGAAGATAGTGTGTTAACTGTTTAAAGATGTCTAGATTTACCGACGATATGAATGTTTTACTTTAACATTAATACAGCTGATAGTTGGAATATAAAATAATAATAATAATAATACTTTCAACACTACTATATAACAAATAATTTGAGCCTGAAGATGGCGTTGACGCCGAAAATTTGCCCTTACTCCTAACTTCCTTGTTTCACTTGTCCTTGTCTCTTTCAACCGGATATTTATCCAACTATCAGTATTTCAATCATGAGACTAATGAACAGCGAACTACTCCGTTATCTGATATTCATCAACACAGCTGGTCATTCATGGTTACTAGTTGCTAATATGAGCGGGATATAAATACTTTGTTAACATTAACACAGCTGGTCAGGGAATATGTCACCTGATGTGAAAAATTAAAAATGAAGTAACCGAGTCATGTTGGTAAAGTTTCAAGTTTAAAAATGATAACCTCAACGGTGATGGTAGTGTTACTGTTATTACCACATTTTTAACAGATGACATGTTTATCATGACGTAATGTTAGCAGTGGTTATTAAGTATTAGTCGTTTGATGGTGGTAAATACTGGATTTGTTTGATAAGTAAAGAAGCCATCGCAAATAAACCTCGCTTCTCTTAATCTGTAAATTGAGTAGCAAAATTACCCCACGCGCCTAATCAAGATATATCATTATGAGGAATGTTAATAAGTTAATATTTGATGAACATGATTTATAGCCCATTCTCCTTCTTTTCGCTCATTCAATAATCAATAGTTGTCCATTTTCCCAAATAATTTGTCATGACAACAACCCAATATTATGATGAGTACAGTAACAAGACTGCTTATGGTATTAAAAGTGATGCTATCGATACACTTGGGCCGGATACTATCTATTGGTCATTGCGTCATCTTTAATAGGAGACACAACCATTCTCATATCATCCATAAAGTACAAGGCCTTTAAACTTCACCGAGTCATCATTGTTGTCATTCAGCACATAGCATTGTGTGACCTGATGGTATCTGATACATACGTTCTCCCAAACATGGTCTCTGACATCACCGATGGGTGGGTGCTGGAAAACTTCTTCTGTTACTTGAACTCTTATGCATCGTACTATTCCAACCTGGCAAGTGTGCTTCTCATCTGTACCATGACAACTAGCAAGCTGCTCCTCCTGAAATATCCCCTCCGATTTGGAACAACCACTTCAAAGAAAGCACACTCGATCTGCGTGGCATGTTGGTTGGCAGCTTTCACCATACCTGTGACACTACTTCTCGTAGATAAAGATGATGTTTCTTTTTCGTATAGAGCCTATAGATGCGAATATGGTATCTCATCGGAGATTTGGCACTATATGAGGCCTTTTATTGCAGTGCTATTTGCATTTATTCCAACATCCCTGGTTGTATTAACCACCCTTTGTTTGCTAATTGAAGCCAGAAAATTCGTTTCGCGGAGCAGAGAAAGTTTGAAGTGGCAGGGGATTGTAACAACTGTCCTTACAGCCACAGTATTCTGCTTGTCCCTCATACCATTTATTGTCTACCATGTTGGAGAATCTATCGTTAGCGTAGATGACAAGACCAAGAGTTCATTCCACAAAACGTTTTTTAGAGTTGCACTCTCGCTCACATCATTAAACACCATGAGCAACTTCTACATCTATAGTCTGACCGTGTCTGGCTTCAGGGCATTTATCCGGTCGAAGGTGCAGCTGTCTTATCAGTACATAACCAACGTGAAAACAAGTCATGGTAATTAAATATTGATATGATATAAATATCAATAACTACATATTAATATTTATTTGTCAACATTTTTGTCTTGACGGCGAGATTGTAATTGAATACTTACGGGTGCTTTACATTAACAGTAACGAGGTTTTCGTACGGTTCTTTTTTTCAGGAGGAAGGGCACGGACAGAACAGAACACTGGAAATGTGAACGGAGGTAGTCAACAAACATCAGTTTGATTGTGATACGGTGACCCAAAACAACAATGTTAGACATATTATGACAATACCATATCTGAAGAGACTTGAAGCACAATTTACGAAATGTCAAATTTTGATACCTAGAATGGTTGTAAAAAATCTTAACTCAATATTAAGCCCGCTGAAAATAAACATTTTTCTTATCCTAAACACGTGATTTGAATCTTACAAAATTTTGACAATTTAAAAAACATGCGGGCGTGACGTGTGTTAGAATCTCGCTGGAAGTGGAAAAATATTTTAAATCTCTAGACCAATTATTATGTCTGATAGAGAATATATCATTTGATTAAATTGAGTATTATCTTATATATCACTGTGTATGCGAAAAACATTGAAAATTTATTTTTCATGTTGTCATTTTTCAAGTTGGTAGTGTTATTACCGCATTTTTAAACACATGGCATTATGTAACCTTCGCGGTGGTCGTTTAATGGTGGTAAATACTGGATTTGTTTGATTATAAGTTAAGAAAATGCAACCTATATTAATTTAATATGTAACTTATAAATGGCCATAAATGGTGTTTAACTTTAAAAGCCATTTGTAGTAAGATTAATGTCCATCTATATCAACTAATATCTAAATTTCCCGGCACAAAATAATAACGAATAAAATATGACTTTCATTTTAAGTCAGATTAGTGCACAGATCAGCTAGGTATAAGAGGAAATATCTAACAATCCGCTGGTAGATTACTCTACTAAAGTAGTACAAACTTAAGTGATGGAATGCTGCTTGAAAATAACTCTAAACTCTAAACTAGTAAGGTAGAATCTTAAGATCATGAAGACTTGCAAACGACTTATGTCTCCGCTTGTGACTAGACTTATTTTGCCTTTTTACGACCATCCACAATGGAGTGTCAGCTCAATAAATGCAATATATTTGTAGTGTTGACATAATTAATCCAAAACGCCTACTCTAATTATAACTCTAAACTCTAAACTCGTACTCTAATTATAACTCTAAACTCTAAGTTCCCAGTCTCACCTCCGGGATAATATCCACAGTAGAGTAAGCGTCTCTAGTGAAGCAGAACTCTAATTATAACTCTAAACTCTAAACTCGTACTCTAATTATAACTCTAAACTCTAAGTTCCCAGTCTCACCTCCGGGATAATATCCACAGTAGAGTAAGCATCTCTAGTGAAGCAGAACTCTACCTCCATGCTGCTCTTGCCTTTCAGGACCACCTTCAGGCTCAGGGTCCGCTGGAAGTTGTGTTCGTCTCCCTGGACCCGTCCTCGCACCTGCACAGTACACGTGGTTATATTTGGAATTACAAATATTTTATTGAATTATTGTGTATCTTGTATAAATAGAAATGTATACATAAATAAAAACAAGACGAATGTTGTCTTCAGAAAGTGTGATCAGTCAATATCAATGGAACATTAATGGAACATTAATGGAACATTAATGGATCATTAATGGAACATTAATGGAACATTAATGGAACATTAATTATGGAACATTAATGGAACATTAATGGAGCATTAATGGAACATTAATGGAACATTAATGGAACATTAATGGAATATGAGATCACTGTAAATTTCTCCTTCATATCGCCATCAATTCTTAAAATGTGTATTTAGTAAATTAGAATACTCTGTAGTCTGCAATATCAGACGTCTGTAAACTGCATATTCAGTCATATAATATAATGTAATTAATACTATTCAGTGTATACACTGAATAGTGAATATAAGTACATACTATATTCTATACACTATATATTATACACTATATAAAACACTATATTATACAGCCATTGTGCAAAGTGGAGTCATCATTTTTGTGCAAACGTAATCATATTATATAGATATAAATAGTTTTAAATGATTTAACATCACAGAGCTGGTACCCGTGGAGATCAATATTTTCAATAAGTCGATTCTCAACAGCCAGTAGACACCAAAGCGATTATTGACCAATTAGTGACCAATTAGTGAGTGCTTACCAGCCAGTAGTGACCAAAGAGGTTGAATTTAGAACTCTCGTAGAACAGTTGTGGGATGAAATCATCTGTTCTGTGCGGCGACAACACTATATCTGAAAATTGATATGTGTCAAAAACTTTACTCTTATCTAGGGTAAGGACATTAATGTGCATTAATGGGCATTAATGGGCATTAATGGGCATTAATGGCAATGGCAGTCTGAGCAAAATTTTAAAATACTGCCATTAATGCCCGTCGGTACCCCCACCCCCCCCACCCCCCCCCCCCCCCCCCCCCCCCCATAAAACCTCATCACCGTACTTGCAAACAACCAAATGAAACCTATACCAGACTCATGGATGTGGATTACCGTTTACACGTGACAGTTATTTGACAGAGTTTTTTAACCAACAGTAGGAGCTGATTGGATAATTGCCGTCACGCGACGAAAAATATTCCCATCTATTATCTATGGTAGTGATAATTATATCCCGGAATATTTCTTTATAGGTGGATAAAAGGGACTAGATATCGGTGGTGATAACATGCTTCACTGCTTCAGGTTGGTTGCAACAGAATGCCACTAGCAGGTGCAATGTACGCTGTTCATTAGTTATCGTGTGAATTGTTATTTGAGCATGGAGACTCAAAGATACGTAAATAGAGATAATGAAGAATGAGTTAAGTTCTCGTGGGACCTAAAGATAATAGTATACTAAAGAAATGAGAGATAGAAAGAAATATGTGATTTTTGCTAAATCATAAAATGCCCGTTTTGGGCATGTCTATATTACCTGATTTGGACGACAAATCTTTTGGGAGTAGCCCTTATATATAATTTCGATAATCCGTTGATAATCGTGTCGCTCATACGCAGAAAAAAGCTTAACCTGGTAACCTTGTATAACCTGGTAACCTTGAAACCTGGTAACCTTGTTGCCTGCACAGAGCAATTCTACCTGCACATTTCTCAATGAGTTATACCATCAGCTGATTTGCAGATCTGCAGGTATCTGCAGTGCAGTTAAACTATCTGCAGTGCAGTTAAACTATCTGCAGTGCAGTTAAACTATCTGCAGTGAAGGCCAATAAATTTGGAACGTAAATGGTTTTTAGAAAGGACCATTTGGGAACTTAAAATGATATTTAAACATGATCCACCTTTTTAGAAGCGAAAATTTGATTTTACAAGTTCGACTGGCCAGTTTTCTTTTCAAAATATCTTTAAAATATAGCCGTTTTCAAACTACATAAACTGTCACTCGATATGCAGTTCTGAAATTTTGGTACTAAAGTTTCAGCAGACAAGTTCCAAAGGCCCGATATGATAGCTCAAACATCATTCATGTGCAATGATTTTTCACAGGGGATCAATAATTCATTTATTGAATGTATCAAGTTTGACCGTAGGTGTACATTACTGGGATGTTTACATGAAATACTGCTGAAAATGTTTTCTTGATGTTCAACATTAACCGTGCAAATTTCCCAAATTGTATTAGCAGTACCTCCATTGCATAACAGTACCTTAATAAACGTATATTTGAACATGCTAGACTTGTAAGCTTACCTGTAAAGAAGAGTTTAGCGTGGCTCATAAAGCTTGTGACACTCCTGAATCTTCCAATCTGAGGAAACAAAGCTGACTTATCTGAAAGTTATAATTTTAATTAACTATAAACTTGATAATATTACGTATGGTGGGGAGGCGATATCTTCTGTGTACTAAACTAACCTGATCGTCATGCTTTCTGTCGCTCTTGTTTATATGTGCGATGATGTCACGTGCGGGGCGGTGCTGAAAGTCGCACTCGTCCGCATGTTGGTGAGAGGAGTGGGAGGCACCAGTCCATGTGCACCCAACTTTAATGTACGTGCAGTTAACTGGTCTGAAATAGGACGGGTTGTGAACTCAGAACTGTACGTACATTTGTAACGGTTAACCATTGTAATGGTTAAAACTGATTCAAATTTGTACAGATCGACTAATTCCAACCCCTACTAACCCCGGCCCCCGGCCCCCGGCCCCCCCCCCCCCCCTCATTATTGTAGCATCCTCCAGCTGTTGCTTACCTTCCCTTGCACTCCTTAGTATGAGACTCCAGTCTGTTCCTGGACATGGTAGCGTTACAGTAGATACAGTCGGAGAGGAGCTCTGAGAGGAGCAGCTCCACCACCAGGTTCCGAACACATGAGTTACGGGACATGTCCACCCTGCATTTGGGACACCTGGCTTGCTCGTCCTGGTGGGGTTTTGGGTGGGGTTAGAAATGGAATGGAGTTGTACGTTGATACACGGTGCTGAACATGAGAACCGTTGATTAAGACCCTCAAAGATTAATCTTCAAAAAACCAATTTTTCAGACGGAAGATAATTCTTATAATTGCCGCCTTGCCGGTCGGGTAAGAAATATTAAAAAGTCAGTATAGAAATTCACGCTTTTAAGCCCAAATGTCCGTTTATATTAATATGATTAGGCGTCAAAGCTTTTCACATGAATAGCGGATTTATTTACTGTTTCAGGTAAGAATAATGTAATAACAATGTTATCAGTGCATAACGTTGGATACTTATCGCATATTATGCCAAAATACCGTTAATGAAATCATCCTGGTACGTGAATTACAGGTTTATGATTATTTCTATTTTTAATAGATAAGAATTTGAGGGCAAACTTGATATCTAGCGTGAATTCAAGAATGTTTCTTTTTGGTCTGCTGTATTTAAGCGGCAGGTAATCTGCAATCCCATAATACTTGATCGTATCGAACTAGATTATACATTATATTGTTTCTTACCTGCGTTTTCCTATTTCGAACATAAATCTTGGACAATTTTATTTTTCAATTGCGCCTTTTTTAGAGTCAGTTGAACAGTGGCTCAGTATATGATTCCACGAAAAGTAGGAGTTGATGCTCAGCTGCATTTAACTGCGGTAATGTCTGAAAATCTGCAATCGCTTCAAGGTTTTCTAAAATATGGCGAGTTTGAGGGAAAGGTATGAAGATGACGAGAAGTACCGCTTAGTACAAAAATATCTGAGTAACAAAGTCTGTCTTTTTATTGGAGGAGTAGCATTTTGCTTACTAATCGGAACTGTGTGGAACATAAAGAAGTGTCCAGAGCTGGGGGTCATCGCTTCAGGTTTAAATATTGCAATTTTAAAACTAGCTGCTCGGATTAAATAATTGGAAAGGTTTTGCACTTACAGTATGCCATCTTTCCATTCAAAGCGAATAATTTTGTATATAAGTTTATAATTTGGAACTATATTTTCAGATGTCACGATTTATTTTAACTGTGTAGTTATCCTGGCGATGATAATTGTAGCAATTTGCTGGCAAACACCATGTGAGATTTATAGTTGAACACTTTGTAGTATAAGCTTAGATGAGTATTGATAAATCACTGGTAACTGGTAACTGGTAACTGGTAACTGGTAACTGGTAACTGGTAACTGGTAACTGGTAACTGGAGCTTTCCAAGATGTGGGTATAGTTAAGATTTTGGTTTTTATTAATTTAATATTTACAATTAGCTGCCAACCTTTAATTATATTACCCGCAGCTTGTCTGGTACACAATAAGCATCGTTTGGAACTGGTTATAATACCTCTCATCACATGTTAGTACAACATTCTTTACGAGCAGAGACAAAAGGAAATCGCGATTATTTTGGGCAAAATTCGCGATACCGCGATTTTTAACAGACTATACATTAACCTATACATCAAATTTGTCGCAAATAATGGAAAAATCGCGATTCCGTACATGCCGCGATTTCCTTTTGTCCCTGTTCTTTACGAGTAACCGTGTAAATTGATCTAGTAATTCATACAAATAACAAACTTAAAAGTTTCCACAGAATTTCATTTCTGGATGATAACCGTAGAGCATGAGCACTGTAGCATAACTACCTGCATCCTAATAGAAATACTCTGATCGTGTATATTAAAACACTCACCCTATGTATACAAAAAATACGTGTCCAGTTACACATTGGAATACATAGCTTATTGTATTCGATATTGTGTAACTAGATACGTATCTTTTGTTCGAATTTCTTGTCTCAGGGGGGGGTCCACGTTAAAAAAAGTTAAAAAAGTTAAACTAATTAATGTTAAATTTCAAAATTCAGGCTTAGAAAGTTTAACTTTTTTAACATAAATTCAAATTTGGGTTGAAATTGCAATGGAGTGAATATTCTAGACTAGTTTACTTTTAGGTCATGCGTTGGTATTTTTGTTCATTAGTCATTACATGTAGGAATATAGGAATGCCCATGACAAGAGTAAAACAGTCATATAACATAGGTACAACCGATAAATAATTGATACATTTGATCATTACAATAATAAATAAATTATAATTCATAGAAATATAAACAGCTGATTCATAAATAATTTTTAAAAAACAACAGATTCCATTCACAGTGTCAACACTGAAAATAGGGCTATGATAATCTATATCATTAAATCTAGTGATACTAATCGTAATGAATTAATAACTGAATAAATTTCTAATGATGTTTCATAAAAGTTATCGCTTAAACAAAGAGTCACTGTGTCACGATATTATATTAAAAATTTAAAATAGTGTCTAATGATATTTCATAAAAGTTATCGCTCAAACAATGAGTCAATTTGTCACGATATTATATTACAAAGTTAAAAAGAGTCACGTCTAATGATGTTTCAATGTAAAAGTTATCGCTCAAACAATGTGTCAATATATTATATTACAAAATTAAAAAACAGTGTCAATGAAGTAAAAATTTGTCGCCAATTTTTCATTACAGGTGTTACTGTAATAACGTAAATAAAAGAACTTGAGGTTCTAATTTGAAGTTACTTATATCATTTAACCTGAATATAAAAGTCTATCATTAAAATAATTTTCACTATAGTGCAGCCGATTCCTTATCGTCGTTCATATATTTTAGAACTTCACTTGTAATACGATTAACATCATACGGTTGAGGAATCTTCATTATATCACGACATACATCATTATTCAGTTAAATGAAAATAGATGTTCCTCAATAATCTCTTCCTCGGACATTCCTGATGTCCCAAGACTAGGGAGGCTACCTCTTATGGCCAAACAACTGGCTAAAAAAAGCACAAATCCTTCAGTACTGATCCTGAGATCGCTGAACTGTCACTTGAACGCAAGCAGCTGATGATTGCGAATATGCAGAACAAATTCCCGACCAACAGGAAGCATGTCAAGACCAACATCAACCAGCTAAGACGTAAGATTACAAAGAGACTCAGAGATATCAACAACTGCAGTGCTGACACACTCGTCAAGGAGGTAAACAAAACAGACGACGCCCGGAGATACTTAGGAGCCTCTAAGATACTCGCCAAAGGATATGTTAGACCAGCTCTAACCGTCCATAACTCTGCTGGGAATATCGCAGGTACTAATGAGGAGAAAGCGAGGATTATTAAGGAGTACTTTGAAGCTGAGTTCAACGACGCTGATGAGCCTACCCTTCCTGCCTTCCTTGACCCCCCATCTAGCCTTAACAGTCCCATCACCGTTGCAGAGATAGAGAGAGCCATCAGTAAACTCAAGTCTGGTAAAGCAGTGGGTATTGATAAAGTTCCTGGCGAGGTCATGAAAGCCCTGAACAACCCCCTCCTTCATGAAGAGCTGGCTAATGTGTTCAACGAGTCTTTCGAGAAAAACATTCACATTGAAGCAATAGGAGCAGGCATCCTCACACCACTGGCTAAGCCTGGTAAAACTCATGGCCCAGTTAAGTCGATACGACCATCGACCCTGCTGAATGATTCTAGAAAGATCCTGTCACTGATAGTGCTAAACAGAATAGAGAGAGCTGTGGACAACTTCACCGGACCGTTCCAAGCTGCCTACAAAGCTGGCAGGAGCTGTGCCGACCTAGTTTGGGCACAGAGCATGCTCATATCTGTAGTAATGAAGAAGGAGTTTGAATGGAACAAAGTGAGTATCGACATGTCAGCTGCCTTCAATACCATCCGCAGAGGTACAGCAATCAGACTACTAGAAGCTGCAGGATGCTCCAGAGACGACCTGAGGCTTGTACAATACCTCATGGCTAACACCACTCTAGTAGTCAGAGTGTGTTCTACTGACTCAGAGATGTTCTCTTTCAACATAGGAGCCTCCCAAGGAGACAGCACAGCTGGTAAATTGTTTACCCTCAATCTAGCTGGAGCTGTAGTGCACATAAGAGCAGTCCTCCCCTCAAGACCCAACCCTCCGATAGCCGATAACCACATGCCTCTTGAGTCCGGCTATTCAGACGATGTAGAGGAGATTGGTGAAGATATGGAGGAGTTACAGGATATCTTTCAGATCTCCAAGAATATTCTCAGTGAATGGAGTCTCTTTGTCAATGACACAAAGACAAAGTTTACCAGAGTGTATTTAGAAGAAGTTGGTGCGTGTGACGAGTGGGATAATGAACTAAGAGGAAAATAGGAGTGGAGAAACGAGACGCTTCTTGGTACTAAGCTTGGATCAGAGCAGGATGTTACTAATGGAATAAATAAAGCTAACTCTGCCTTCTGGTCATTTGACAAGCTGTGGTGCCAGGGATCAGAGAGGAGTCAGATAACTGAGAAGAGAAAGATCAAACTCTACGACTCACTAGTAGTATCAGTGCTCCTGTACAACTGCTGCTGCTGGGCCGTACCTCAGCATGTTCTAGAGTCTCTAGATGTTCTTCAGAGGAAGCACCTCAAGCGCATCCTACACATCTATTGGCCTAGCTCAATATCTAACAAGGCCCTCTACGCTCGTACCCAGACCAGGCCCCTTTCCGAGAGAGTGGAAAAGGCACGGTGGACAATGCTAGGTCATGTTCTACGCAGTGACAACGACACACCTGCCTACCAGTCTCTGTTATTTGCTACACTGGGGGAATGCAACGTCAATTAATGTCAATTAATGTCAATTAATGTCAATTAATGTCAATTAATGTCAATTAATGTCAATGTCAGTTTTGCAAAATTTTGGAATACTGACATTAATTGACACGACATTTTTCGACCAGAGATTATGTAGTTCTACCATATTTTTAGCACTTTAGAACGTTTATATCATCAATTTATTCACTACTATCACAATATATGGAAATGTGAAATGTGAAAAATTCAGATCATTAAATAATAAAACTAAAATAATACGGTTTTCCGAAATTTAATTTTCTTAAATGGGCGTGGCCATCTAAGGGCGTGATTCTCAACATCATCAGAACTTAAAACCCACATTAAACGAAATGCCTTCATGACATTTATATTTGAATAACGAATCTTAAACAGCTAACATTACTCCTTCATACTAAAAAAGCCAATTCTAGATATTTTACCTGTATAAGAAACCAATAAAATATGGGCGTGGCCGGTGGGGACCGAAGATGGAAGAGTTGGAAGCTGAAATTTTTTTTGTGGTCTTTGAACCTAAGGATCAACAGATAAGAACATACTCATAATTATTCAAGGACATTTTGTTTTTTTGAACCGGTCTAACTTACATAGACGTGAATATCTTGAATATTTATCGAATAATGATAATCTCAAATTTCAAGACAAATTAATGTCAATTAATGTCAATTAATGTCAATTAATGTCAATTAATGTCAATTAATGTCAATTAATGTCAATGTCAGTTTGGGGTTTTCATGGAATACTGACATTAATTGACGTTGCATCACCCCCGCTACACTAGGATGTCAAACACTAAAGGGACGAGTGGGTAGACACAGGACTAATTTGTATGATATTATTGTGAAAAAGGACCTATTTAAGAGACAAATTTATATAAAAAATGAAGATGATTTTACCAACTTAGTGAACTTAGCAAGAGATAGAGTAGGATGGAGGAGTTTATTTACTTTGAGACATATTGAACGAATGAGTCTTCGTAAGCGTAAATAGGCCAGCACTTTGCTGAGCCTCTTTAGGTGCTCTTTTGTTTATAGATGTTATTATATTATATAACTGGCTAAATGGCTCTTTAGATTATGAGAGCATCTATGTTTTGAAACAGAACTTCGATCTGGTTGTTTCACTTTCACACACCCCAATAGGTTCTTTACCTGCTTTAAGACTTCAGGGACTTCATTTTCAATATCTTCCGGGCTATCAATTACATTTAGATATTTCTTTGAATCCTGATTATTTTTTATTTCATTCAACGATCTATGCACAAGTTCCTCATCGTCACAACTTTTCAAATTGCTTGGACCTAGTGATCTAGTTAACTCTAGCATTACCGCAATGTGGGAAATAAAGGCAAAAGAATGCTTCCCTGTCACATTTGCATGGACATAATTAGTAGACAGCTTTCCTTGTATTTTTGGAATAGTTTGAATAGTTTCCGATGACAAGATTGGTTTCACTCTAGCTATTGGGCATGGCTGATGCACAGTATTCTGCACCACATCATCCGTACTCTTTGTTCCATTCTGACATTCTTGGGTAGGTAAAATACTCATCATCCGACGACGTCTTTTCTTAGATTTTAGTCTAATACCCGCTCCATGGATCGCACAATTGATAACGTAGGACACCTGGATTTTTTTCCTCCGAAAATATTGTATATATTCTGTAGGCAAGCTTCCTCTAAAGAACACCCAAGTCTGAATAAAACCCGTTGAATTGCTTTGGCCTTGATAATCTGGCCAGGTACCATGTCGTTACACTTCCGCAATTCAATTTCAAAATTCGTCCTGACCGTGCATCTATCTTTAATCGTTTCGGCATCGAGCGCCTTTCTTCCGGATTTCTCCTTACAAAGTTTGTTTTTCGGCGTGGAAGTGCCATCTACTGTGGCGAATCTTTTAGAAAGTTTGTTTAAAACAGTCTCTTTCTTCGCAATCACAGGCTTATCACCTTTTCCATCGTGTACTGGCAGTCGAATTGTACTCAGAGAACTTGTTGGAGGAGTATTTCTAGAGTTCAATTTGTCCCGATTTCCCTGCTGATTCTCATTCTTGATTGCAGTTCCACCTTCAATGAGTCGTGTAGACAACTTGTTAAGTGATGTTTCCTTCTTTGAATTTAACACTTTCTTGCTGCTGTTTAGTATTTATCTTATCAACATCAACTGGTCGTCCAATTGTGAATTTAGAATTGTCTACTGTGGGAGTTCTCGTGGTTAAATTATCAGTGTTAGCCCGCAAATGCTCCTTCTTCTTCAGACCCGTCGATGAAGATTTATCCATAATCGTCAATTTGCTTTGAGTTCTAGGTTTTGATGAATCAGCAGCCCTTTTTGAAGTGTTGACAACAACTGATACGTCCTCAGTAGATGGTTCGGGTACAGGGATTACAGCTGGAGGAAGCTCCGGAGTATCAATACCTGATGATGTGTCCTCAGTAGATGGTTCGGGTACAGGGATTACAGCTACAGGAACCCTTCAAGCGTATGAGCGACTCTCCTGATGCCTTCGCTAAATTGCAACGTAAACATCTGTCGTATGTGAGACTTTCCATAACCCTTCCGCACTTACACCGCCAAGCCATATTCTTTTTTCCTATTATATGAATGATTATATTAGTAAATTATACAATTATGTGTATATATAGATACAAGGTGTTTTTTTTTGTAGAGTTATCAAATCAGTTACAACTACAGAAAACAATTGCAAGAGCGAAGTACTACTAGTACTAAAGGTCAACACTCATAATTGAGTTTAATTTGGGTAATCATGTTAAAATTTGAACCGATTAGTCAGCCAAAATCTGATTTTTAATTTATGTTAAAAAAGTTAAAAAAGTTAAAGTAATTAATGTTAAATTCCAAAATCTCGATCTTAGAATTTAACTTTTTTAACGTGGACCCCCCCCCCCTGTCTCAAATGAACAAAAATTAGGTTGGGTTTCATTACTATTATCATAACTTTCTACAACCAATTAATTATCTTTCTCAGTCGCGCTATCGTGCTGGACGATGAAGCGATTAGTTGAGCGCCTACAGTCAATCATGCTATTAAAATACATCTACGGTACGGACATCTGTCCTGTAAGTCTCATCTCCTACTGGATAATGATAGCTCTACAAGGTCTTTCTTTGGTGGCACAGAAGGTTCTGATCTTCGGAGCAGTGATTGTGGTCCTGTCAAAAACTCAATATCAGCAGATGGATAGCTTGAGTAGATTGCAAGAACGAAGTTTAAGTAGGGAATTGAGGATTTATTGATTTAATTTTTATGTACTATCCGGATCGGATCTTTGTTCATTATTCGCATTATTGTGATGATTAATTATTATTATTATTAAGAAACTGTTTACACCATTAAAATATTCAAAACCCCTAAAAGAAATCAAGACATCCTAAAATGGTGATCGTTACAGATCAAGACAGCTAGAGATTAATAATTCACAATTTCTGGGTATTCACAATGTCTGAGTATTCCTTTTTGCGACAAGTAAAGAACCTCTTTTTTAGGCATTGGAAATGGTCGACGTTTGAGCAGATCACAGGAACGGAGTTTAAACATCGATGTTTCGTGTTTTACTATTAATATAGTATGCAATTGTTCAAAATAAAATGACGATTCTAGATATTGTTTTAAATGATCGTTTTCTGCCGAAGATTGTTTCGGTTTCTGCGTTTTAAAGTACTAACAACTGTTTTGTACTTACGGTTTCTATTACTTGGTTTACATTGGCATAACAAAAGTTAATTTATGTAAATTCAGGATGCTTTAAAAATTTAAAATTTCAGCCGATTTTGACTTTACTTTGTATCACAGCTTATTGACACAGTTAGTATGTAAGCATAAGACGTGTAGTACAATGTTAATGGTGTGCCCTGCTATAAACTTTATAATGTAAACGTGTACCTTGATTCTGGCATCAGCGAGGAGCCTGTAGAAGCAGCCGATACACATCAAATGTCCATAGTGGCACTGGTATATCTCAGTATTGGGATTTGCTGGAGAGAAAAAGAATTCAAAAAATGAGTTCTCAAATTAATTTCAATTAATCTTTGATAAAGTAAAAATGGTCTGCGAAGTAAAAAGTTATCACCGGCTATCTATCGAATGTGGGAGTTGATAGTAAAGAGTAGAAAATGGGATTTTACAGTGCAAACAAACCAAAACATGAAAATAGCTCACCCAAACAGACAGTGCAAATCAACAAATCTGAGACTTTTTCATGGAATTGAAGTATCTGTGCTTCTCTATCGTTACCGACTTTAATCTGAAAATAATTATTCAGTTAAATAGTGAAAAAGGTGTCGTGTTTTGAAAGGCTGAAATAAGTGATAGGATCTCTACCAACCGAGGAGAAATGTAGCTCATCAACAACATCAGAATTTATATCATTTTGATGAAAATCTATAGATTATGACAGAATTTGTTTTGCAGGAGGCAACTTAGAATTATATCAAGTATCAGACAACTTCCGTTGTACTGTGATTATTAATTCATAAAACTGTAAAATAACAAACATTTCAACAAATATAAATTATACATTTTCATAGATACGTAATGGTAATAGGATACATAATGGTAATAGACCATACCCTTTTAGTTTTATTTCTCGGAGTGTCCCGGTCAGGTGACGAGTCACGTGAGTGCCTGAGATTCTCCTCCAGGTCTCTTGAATACTGCCTGAATAAATGTGGATAACCAAATGTGATGAAAACTGAAAAAAATCAGCAGAAATCTTAATTATAAGTCATAGCGTGTGATTTTGATCATATTTCGAGGAGTTTCTTGAATACATTTTTTTTAAATAATTCATTACTTGGCAGTACATCACTAATAAAATCACTCACAAATTGTTGGACATAATTATTCGATTAGTTCAAACCTTTGTCTATTCCAGTGTTCTGAACTTCCTGACATTCTGATAGAGAGTATTAAATCAATGAGCAGAAAATTACAAGTGCAATAATTATTATTGAACGAAAGTAAACAACATGGCAAAATTGTTTGGAGATTCAGCAGCGACAACCAAAGAATTGGAGCCTGTGTTTTGATCTTGATCTCTTAGTACAATGGTAAAAGTACAGATTATGCACATTCATAACTAATTCATAATTGCTCAGATGGAGTTCTACATAATATCTGCTCGGAACTATTCACTATCAATTATAAAAAAGGAAAAAAAAGGCTAAAAGCGATTCGACAAAAATCCCTATTATATAAAACATGGGTCCGTGACGGTGAAAATTCCAAAATCTTTGGGTTCAGCGTCCTGTTTTTCAACAGCGATATCTAAAGGTGAAAGACCTTTGTTGTTTCTCAACATTAGGTTTATGCTTTTCTGTTCTGTTAGGTACTTGACGACTTCAGCTTTCCTGGATATAATGGCCTTGTGAATGCTTGTGTTACCGTCTTCATCTGTGATATTGATATCAACATTAGCCTCATTACATTACCAGCGCACACAGTCGAAGTGTCCTCTATGTGTTGTATGTAGAGGTGTTTGACTCTTGTCCCCCTTACTAATTATATCTGCACTGAGTGTACAGAGATATTGCATACAGTCTAGGTTACCCTTTGCTGCTGCGTAGTGCAGTGCTGTGTTGTCAAGTGCATCTCTAACGTGCAGTGTACATCTGCACCTTGATCACAGAGATACCGCACACAGTCACAGTAACCATTTAGTGATGCTATGTTTAGAGGTGTTCTACCATTGTCCCCCTTCCTGCTCTTGTCTGCACCATTTAAACATAGATATTTAATACAGTCTAGTTTACCATACCGAGCAGCCCAGTGCAGAGTTGTGTCATTGTCCTCATCTATAGCATGTATGTCTGCACCTTGATCACAGAGATAGGATAAAATCTGCCCATCTCCAACCTTTGCAGCAACATGACGTACCAACTCCTTATACTCTCCAGTTCTTTCTTGTAGGATTGGTTTCAGCGTTACATTGTCAACACTATTACACAATCTTTGTATTTTCACATAGTTATTTTCTTCTGTTGCTTCCCTTAACTTCAAGCAACTGCTTAGAAACGTCCATTAACTTGATAAAATTGAGAACCAAAGCACTATTAATACAAGCACAGGCAGCTGACTTAAAAAATACTTGGACTCCACAAACAATTTTAAATTGCAGTAATCAAATCTAATTGCAGCGGCACACACTTACTATTACTATCATGATTGTACTATAGACAGAAAATCTCTCAAATCGATTTTGGGCGCTTTAAACCATTTGTTGTAATGTTTTTAGATACTAAATAATATCTAAATTTATAAAAAAATTTATCGGAACGAATTAATTGATATTTAATAATTTATTCCGTAGTTTTATCTGATTATGATATTGATATTGTTATTATTGAACAAAGCTAACTCTAGACATAGTTAATATTACTTCTTTTAACAAAGGGACTTGGAGTATAAACAACCAAGTTTGCATAAATTTCTATCCAACCAAGAACTCAGGAGGCAAAGGTGGGTGTGTAAACTTTTGGTCTGCACTCTCCGATCCTGTATCACCCTGGATTCTTCTCGACGTATCTTTGTAAAAGGTATACACCTTCTAGTCAATCTCTTGCTACTCCAAGTCCCCTAAGATATCTGATCTAAAGTTCGTGCTAGTTATACAAATAATATAATAAAATTATTCAAACAATATACACATAATATAGCAATGACCCTATATGAAATCTACCCTTTAAGAATTAAAAAAGTTTCTTAAACAATCAAAAATTACCCTTGGCCTTGTGGCTCCAAGTTAAGATCTAGACTGTTTATATCAACAATGTTTGTTCTCGCACCTCTGTCTCCACGGAGAGAAATCACTATTGTTCTTAGGATTTCAAAGCGAAGGCGCTTTCTAATGTATCCTACAGCATCCGAGTACCTCTGGCCAGTGTGGTACTCCATCTTACTGGCCAGCTTTACATATTATGAAATATATTTTTGTCTGCTTTAATTGATACTAAATAAAATTGTTGTTTTCTTGAAATTGTTGTTTTCTTTCTCAGCCTGACTATCACTATTTATTGTTCAATGTTTTCATGGATAAGAAAAGCTAAATATATTTGTTTGGGATAATGAGTAGATAAAGGCTGCTTCACAAAGTCTATCTGGGCTTACTGGATTTGTAGACCTAGATATTTTCAGTTCTGAAATGTATAAAATATGTTACAGCTGAAAGCAGCGTATTTTGCCCCATTTTGATCACTATATCAACTCCGATATCCACCAAATTTTTCGGACATTTGTGAAAGCCTTGTTGAAAGGTCGTCGCCAATTTCCAGAATGATCTCATTTAAGGAACTGAAGATATATCCGAATAATACGACAAAAATGGTCAAATTTGGACGAATTTGGTCAAATTACGAGATTTTTACAGCTACTTTTGCTCCAAACGCCGCGCACCATCAAATTTGTATTGGCACCTAGGCGAAACTCACTGATCTTTCCAAAAAGGTATGACAAATTTGGTATTGTGAAAATTCTCACAGTCTCTAGAAAACAGTGGTACAAAAATTTTTAAAATCAATTAAAGTTGTAGTTAATTAATAAATTTGTAGTTAATCATTTATTAATTTTGGTGGTTAGATATTTATATTTGCACTGTCCATACTACATTTATGAGGCTGTCAACATTTCAAACACAAATAAAACCAGTGTTACAAGTCTGACGATCATTCTTCAAAATAGATCGACAATCGAATACCTTTTTTGTACAATCAACAGTGCAGCCAATCTTTGGAAAAAAAGTAACGTGTTGATGATGATGATCGGTCATATTTTTAGCCATGTTGTTCATGTTGACATGGTCGGTTCCGCTTATGTATAGCTTGATGTGATTTTTATTGTCATACGTTGTATGACCCGCCGCGCACGAAGTGCGCGGCTCCCCTTGTATCGTCGATACAATAAACTTATAATTAGGGAATAAACAAATTACAGAATATTGTATAACTATTAGAAAAAGTGGAGGTAGCGGTGTGGTGCATTAATAGATTGACAGCCTACTGATTTAAATTGTTTTTAATTATTATTAAATCTAAAATAGCTAATAATTTAATAAATTATTAACAGGCCCCTTAACGTGGGCAATAACATACGCTTTATAAATTATATAAACAAATTGAAGTTTATTTTCCAATGTTGTTAAGTGTCTCTTTAGATCTGTTTTGGTCTTTCGTGGGAGTTCCCACATTTGTTGGTTGAGAATGCTCAACATAACATGTTGTTTTTAAGTGAGCATAGTGGGTATATTTTTGGATCAAAAGGCTGCAATATGGCAACTTTAAAATTGGTTCTTTTAATCGTTTATTAAATATCAGTTTAAAAATACATAAATCTGGAATAGTGAAACAAATTTTAGTGAAACAAATTTAAAATTTTATCCTTTATTTTACAATCATAATATAATAATATTTATAAGCCTCCGTTTTGAAAGTTTTAAATTTTAATACATTCACATTTCTATTTAAAATTCAATTTTATGTACAAGTCAATAACTGGCCGCCAAAGCCGCGCATTCTTGAAAACAGGATTAACTTGATTATAGTTATACGACTATGTAAATTTAAAACTATCCGTGGTTTTTTCTTTTAAATAAATAAATTATAACTTTACCTAAGTCCAAAGCCAGCTTTGAAAAATTTACTATTAAATCATAATATATCGTCAACTTTAAATATTTACAATGCAACAATTCATTAATCTGTAAACACGCGTACTCCAGCCCCTAAACGCATAAATTGTTATGCGGCGCTGCTCAAGCCGCGCACGCACGTATTATTTTATACTGTTTGCTTTCTAATAAATATCGTGCCAATGTGTACGTCTAAATTGTAAACGTTCATGTTTTGTGTAAAGTGAATCCAATTGGGACTAGTGACAAGGATAAGGACCCAAGTGCCTGTACGGCTTTTTCGGACCCCTGTGGACCACTACTCTTGAAATCACTCTACAACATTGAACATCTATATCTACTACGTCATTTGGCAATTATTGTCATTAATCTAACTTTCTAATTAATTGCCGAGGGGGAAGAGTAAACGCTTCACATTAAAATTCAATATACAAAATTCAAAACCATCAATACGGTATTAAATATTATGGACAAGTCTATAGATCTATTTCGTAGTCATATATTCACATGATTTGCTTTATATTATCTTAATACTGTAATGAAGTACAGTAGGATTTGTGTTTCGAGAAAGAAAGGTTGCGGTCAAATTATTAACAAAAGTAAACAAAAGTCCATCAGGGACTCCGTGGAGTCGAAAAAGGTACACGGCTGCTGTCTGGTGCTGCTAGGCATTTATTGATCAAGATGTTTTATTGTATTGATTTATAATGATTCTATTGTTCGTGACTAATCAAGTTCTAAGTGGAGGTATAAAGTGTTGCTCAAGATACTTCGTCATCTCATGTCCAGTATAATGATTAAGATAGTATACAATGCAGTTTTAGTAGTTGACCCATACAGTTAAGTCCGTCATAACTCACAATCGTTAAGTCGTCGGTCAATTGTCAAAGTCGTTGTGTGTTTATTCGTTGAGATAGCAGTAAGATAAGATGTTACGCGCGCGCGCGTTTAATCCCGTCGACGTGAAATGTGACAATGAAAACGCCATAGAATTATTATTTTCGCGCGTTACGTAGAGTTTACCAGTGTGTAATACTAGTTAACACTGGGTGTACACTGAGTGTAAGTGTAAGTTTCATATACAAGCCGTTGAATATTTCCAATTTTGAGTGTATCGTGAGCATGTTTTACAGTGGGATTGCTCGGTACTAGTGTGTTTGTGTATATATATATATATATCATTTGTGGAGTATGGTGTAAGTAATGTTTTTGGTTGGAGTGCAGTGGTTATATGTATGAGAAAAGATATATGGTCATTTTAGTAACTCACATAAATCAGAACTTGAGCTCATTTGTGGCAAAATTAAGCTCACACCAATCAAGTGTATCATGCTTGAATTGCAATTCTCGTAAGGCAATTTTCAATATATTCTTAAACCCGTTTGTCGGAGTATTAAAACTTATCTTACTTGATGTTTGTCGACAGCTGTTCCACATGTAGGATGATTGGTAGATGAATTGTGAGGATGGTTGTGATGTAATGAAATAATCCTCTCGTCGTGGTGACCTGTTAAATGATGAGTACAGTGATAATGGTTCCTCTAACTTATTAATTTTGAATAGTTCTAAGAGACAAGTGTACTTGTACAGATTGTGGACCGTCAACAACCTGTGGGTTTTAAACAAGGGCTTGGAGTGTTCTTTTTGGTAAAAGTCCACCCCCAGTCTTTGCTTATCAACAGGTCGTGTTCGGGCACACGTTTTAAACTTCTCTAGGTAAGCTTCTCTATCCCCAAACAGAATTCTTATACACTTTTTCTGTGTTTTAAAGATAGGTTCAAGTCGGTTATTGCTAATACCACCCCACACAGATATTCCAAATCCTAAATGTGATTCAAATAGAGTATGATATAAATCCTTATAATACTGCTTTGGGACAATGTGTCGTATTCTGCACAGCTTTCCTACTTCGCATTTAAGTTTTGAGTTAAGTGACTGCGTATGTGATTTCCAGTTAAGTTGGTCGTCAATAATAACGCCTAGAAATTTAGCTTCTTGAACTCTTTTAATAACTACATTATTTAAAGTTAGTATGTTCTCGTCATTTTCTACTTCCTCTTTGGCCCGTGAGGGTTTAAAATGAATAAAACAACATTTCTTAATGTTAATATGTAATAAGTTTAGTTTCATATACTTGTACACAAACGATAGAACTTCATTTCCTTTTTCGTATAGTCTTTTGACACATGTGTCTTCTATAAATATGTTAGTGTCGTCGGCAAATAGTATAAACTTTCCTATAATTGATGAGTTACGGATGTCATTAATATAAATAATAAAAAGTAAGGGACCAAGACAGCTCCCCTGCGGCACTCCATAGACTACTGGAAGTTTCTCGGATTCTTCACCTAATACCGAGACATACTGGTATCTGTTCGACAGGTAACTTGCTATAAGGTTATTTGCATTTCCACGTATTCCATAATTTTCTAACTTATGCAGTAACTTTTCATGTGATATTGTATCAAAGGCTTTACTAAGATCAATAAATATTCCAAGAACGTGTTGTTTTTTCTTGAGGCAAGATTCTACGTGGTTCACTGAGTAATTTAGGGCATAACTGGTCAAGTGATTTTTACGGAATCCGTACTGGTTTTCATATAAGGAGTTCTGTGAATGAAAGAAGCTGTATAATCTATTGAATATAATCTTTTCAAATATTTTACCAAACACAGCTAGCGTTGATACAGGTCTATAGTTTTCAAGGAGTTCCTGGTTATCTTTCTTGTAAATGGGACTAATCCTTCCAACTTTAAGGTCATCTGGAAATATGCCATCTTTCATACATTCGTTATACAGTACAGTGAGTAAAGGAGTAACTATTTTAGAGGACTGCTTAATTACATGAATCGGTATGTCACTTGCCTTGCCATTTTTAAGTTCAGATATGATTTTGCTAACCTCGTCTGTTGTGCAGTCATGCATGTAAATGCTGGAAGTGTTTGAAAGCGGTAGATAATCATAGAAACTAGGTATACTGTTTATGTTAATTTGTCCAAGATCATTGTAAGCGGTATTTAGGTCAGAGGCTAATGATACAAAATATTTATTGAATTCGTTTGCTATGATCCTTCTATTTGTTATCTTAACGTTGTCTATTGTGAACAGCGGCTTTATTTCACGCCGCCGTTTACCTCTTATACGATTTATTAGTTCCCAGGTCTTTTTACTATCACCGCTATTTTCAGCAAATTTACCAGAGAAGTATTCTGTTTTCACAGTTTGACGTGTTTTCTTTAGGACTTTTCTGTATTCTTTGTAGATAAGGTAGCGACTACGTTTTAGTGAGCATTCAGGGCACTGGCAAATGCCGCCCTTGTTATCAGTTTCCCCGAGTTTACATTTTCTATTTCTTATCTCAACCCAATTTTCGTACAGTTTGTGCTGATTATTAATTGAGCAAATGAGACCGGGAGTTATCCAAGGGTTAACCTGAACAGTTCTCTTAGAGGTTTTCGGGGTCTCTAGTTTAAACGATTTTTCGACGCAGTTTTTGTAAGTGTCATGGAATTCAGTAAAGTTATGGATTGTTTTAGTTTTAAGCTCATCTTCAAGATCCACTAGGAAGCCGTTAACATTTGATTGACAGAAGTCGTAATATTGTTTAAAAGAAGTTTTTTCAGAGTTGACTTCAACATTCCAGTTAAATGTGTTAAAAATAGGTGAGTGATGAGTTATTCGTTCTTTTAGGGTGCCTGAAGTAATCACATTATCAATATCGTTAGTAATAATGTTATCTATGCAGGATGCTTTACAGCCTGGTTTTTCGTGGGTAACAATAGATATTAACGGACAAAATCCTTTACTGAATAATATTTCTTCATATTTTTGAACATTTTTGTTATCTTTATCATGAAGATCGATATTAAAGTCTCCAGCTAGATAACTAAACTTCGGCATGTGATCAAGAAGGTTAGAAAGTTCAACTAGAGCTTGGGAAATACAGCCACTTGGTGGACGATACAAAACACCTACATTAACAGGTTGATCTTCGTTACTTAATGATAAGACAAGTATTTCTAGATGTTCTGTGACTTGTGATATATTCTCAATTACAGTAGCATTTAATTTATCGTCAACATAAAGGGCTACTCCAGTGCCCTTTTGTTTGTTAGGTGCTGTGTCCTGATAGTAACTATTATAACCGTCGAGCTGAAATAGATTGCTTAATTCTTTTCCAGTGTTGGTTTCAGCTAGGGCTATTACGGAGAATTTTGTTTTGTACCTACAGGTTTCAATGGCAAGGTTGTCAAAATTTGATTTATTTCCATCAATATTTTGAAAGAGAATAGATGATTGTTTCTTTACTTGGTTGCAGAGAATATTTGTAAGGTCAGATGCAGTGTATGAGTTACAATCATTTAAAGTATTTGAGATTTTGGTTGTGTATTCGTCTAGGTTGTTGTCGTCGTCGTCATTGTCAGTGAGTAGTTTAAATGGGTTGTATTTAACCTTGTCTAAATGGATACAACGAGTACAGTAAAACTCATTAGATTGGCTATTTGGATTTGATTTGCGATAGCATTTATGGTGCATTATGCAGTCACAGTGAAAACATTCAACTATTGTTTGGCCGATGACTATGTTCTTAGAACAGACAGGACATACCTCCTTAATGAGGGGAGTCATGGTTGGTAACCATCCACGTGACCCTGACTAGCAGCAGCAGGAACAACAGGACCAGTTTCTCTTCCAGCAGTCGCATCCCTGTAGGATCTATCGTCTACCCTTGTGGACCTCCTCTTCCTTTTGTCGATACCACCGTTAATCCTGAGAAGAACAGTGTTACGAATAAATTGACCTAACTTTGCTAGTCCCCTCCAGTTGAGGTGAAGGAAGTCCGGTTTTTGGTATTTGTTGAGGTCGCGAGAGAGAGAGCGGTCAAGGAGACCATCCCTATCACAGAACTCATCAAATCCATCCACATAACTGACACCAAAATTGGACGGGAGCAGCCTACATCGAATCAAACTGTTAAAGTATATATAAGCTTTCTATTTAAATCAGCACGTTTAGAAGGAATTGTTGGACAAACATATACATGCACACCCGGATTAATAGATTGAATCTGGGCAATTTTTGAAACTAGATGGTTGTAGATTATATCAATATCGTTTTGGCTTTTTACATCTGTTTGTTTCAGGTCATTAACCCCACACAATATAACACAGTTTCTATAGCCACAGGACACATAAGGATCAATGCTATCGACAGTTGGGGCAAAGAATCGTTTTCCAGGAAGCCATTTGCCGAATGACTTGGCAGGATCAGAACCGAATTTCAGTCCGCCGGTGTTCGAGTCCCCAATGATACATGTAGCGTTTCTATTCAGGGAACTGACTGATCTCAATGTTATACTGTAGCGCAGCCCAGTTATCTCGCCTGCATCGATACGATGGTGGAACAGTGCTTGGCTACGACGAGTCATTACATATAATGATCCTGGGCCACATAGTTGCTTGTGCTCATCAATACCTGTACTAGCATCAGAGAAAGAAACATGACACGCAGTACCAAGAGAGACTGTAAAGATACTTGATTCCGGGTGGATAGAAGGCTCGTTATCAGAGTGTCTAGGCAAGGTGTTTTAAACTAATTACAACACTACAAATCTATTACATTTATTGAGGTATGACCAAAGTAATACGAATGTAATACGAATGTAACGTTAATGGAATGGAACAAATCTCACATGTGAACTCTTCAATTTGCTTCAATTCAAATCAACAACTTAATTCAAATCATCAACTCAATATCATGGACGATTCAATGGAAACATTTTTTGGAAAACTATTGTCGGAATGTGATCAAAAATGCAAAAACTGTACTGCACTCAAATCTCATGTCAAGTTTCTCGAGCGGAAAGTGATCATCCTAGAAGACATTGTTCAAACTTCTCAGACTATAGCAGAGATTAATGGTACGTTGTTACATCAAAGTACCAATCAGTCAATAGATTATCGGGCTGTCCTGGATAGGTGTTCAGATGTTGCAGTTCAGACAGAATTTGAAAACGATCAGATTGAATATGACAGTGAATGCGAGGTGCCTGAATCTTTCATGCTAATCAATAGTGATGGCATCATTGAAGCACCAGATTCTATCATTTCCAACAACACAGAAAATCAAATCAGTGGGAGTACAGGATCTGTCAATCCATGGAGTGGCAAGTATTATGCTGAAATAGATGTAACACCCATATCTAGTGTGGCCTTAAGTGTAAATGACGAAAGCCCTGACATTATCATACCACCTGTTGAACTCATTGATCAGGCACCGTTTCAAAAATTCTCCTTAGACATCTTCCTGAGAGAATTGGATTTTAGCCACCAGTTTCAAAATAGGAAAACAGCTTACTTTGGGGACTTCCCATATGTGTATAATGGGGGAAGTCACGAGGCGAAGGAGATACCACATCAGTCCTATCTGGCTGCTATCTGTTCATATCTTGATGTGTTACTCCCGGATTATGTTTACAACAGTGCTCTCGTAAACTACTACAGTACTGGGACAGAATGCATGCCTATCCATAGTGATAATGAAGAATGCATCGATGAAAACTCTTATATTGTTACAGTTTCTCTGGGTGCCTCTAGGACGATGCAGTTCACAGAAATTCAAACAGGAAAAGTGGTGTCTGCCCTAGATCTAAAGCATGGGGATGTTTGTATCATGTCTAAAAAATCCCAGCTTCATTACAGACATGAAATCTGTACTCAACCATCTTGTACAAACAAAAGGATCAGTATCACATTCAGACTGATCAAACCTGTAGCTGTTGTCCAAAGATTAACAAGTACACCAACCAACATGTGCAATGACAATTACCATGACCCATATGAAAACATCTCCAACTCCAGCGGCTATGTACCTTATCAAGAAGACGAGTTTATAGTTCATCCATCAAGGAAAACGAATGGTGCTTATCAGCACCGACCTCTAACCCCACCCTATACATTGCATCTCCACCATCCCATCAATCAGGGCGGCATGTTAACAGACAACAATTGTTCGAAAAGGAGACACCCAACGATGTGAGCACAGTTTATATCAGCAGCAGCATGTTTAGGCATCTGAATGAAAAACTGTTGAGCTCTTCATCTCAGAAGGCCAAAGTATTTTTCTACCCAGGGGCCAACTCAATCCAAATGTCCCAAAGACTCTTTAGCGACAGTCAGTTCAAAGTTCTCAACAAAGAAAAGGTTAAAAAGGTTGTTTTACTAACTGGTACTAACTGTGTTGATCCAATTGACCTCAACACAATGAACTTCAACAGTGCCACCAATGACATGGAAGAATTTGTTCAAAAATTGTGGGCAGAATTTAATAGTGCAAAAATATATATCTTAAATATTCTGCCTAGAGCTGTCACTAGTAAGAACATCATAGTGCAGGGACTTAATCGATACTTAGAGAATATGTGTTATAAGCATGGGCTAATATACATTAACACAGAACATGAAAATAATCTCTTTACTTTAAATTATAATAGAAAGGACAAGTATTTTGGCAGGGGCCATGACAATGTGCACCTTAATAAGTTAGGAATTGCCAGGCTTGGTAAGCATCTCAAATATGTAACTCACTTGTGTTAAACTTCATTAAAATTCTATAATCCAAGGGTATCAACATGAATAATAACAGGATTACTGTTTTATCTGGTTTAAAATGTTAGATCAGCACAAATTTCTAATAACTTAACGTTTTTATATCTCTCAAGCTATATTTATCACAAACAGAAGTGAGTTACTATTTTATGCTGTTAAATTTTATGATTTAAACTGCAGTATGATTGCTGATCCGAAATCCAATTTAAATCATATGTATGACATGATTTGAAACTTAGTCTACTTGAGGAGACTGCATGTGGATTTGTTCCCCATTAGCTTTGGTTTAACCTTATTCGTACCTCAATAAACGATAATCTCTCTCTTGGTCTATGTAATATACAGGGTGGCCTGACTAATCTGGCAAAAACTCTCGAACTACAGGAGCTAATATTTCGCGAAAAGCTTGACATAATTGGAATTAATGAGACAAACCTTAAATCTGATATAGACACTAGTACACTTAACTTCCCCTTAAACTTTGATTTTATAAGGTGTGATAGACCTAACGATAGAGGAAGAGGAGGGTGTGGTATATTGATCAACCAAAATGTTAACCACAAATTACTCAATTTAGATATAACCTACTCTGATATTTCTAAAATCGAAGCTATATGGATACAACTCAAGGACGCCAATCTTTACATTTGCTGCTTCTACAGATCACAAAACTTTTGTCATCTAGATACTTTCCTTGATTATATGACTGAATGTATGATGAAACTTCAAGGTAAGAAAGTAATATGGATTGGCGATGTTAATGTTAACCAAAACTCTTTATCTGATCTAGATTATAAAAAGTTAGATATAACAATGAAGCTCTTTGGAATGATACAGACTGTTACAGGAATTACTAGAGTTGCAAACTTAGATGGTAGAATAACGCAGAGCACAATAGATGTTGTAATGACTAACTGTTACTCTAATTTCATAGAGTGTAAAGTACTTGATGATAGAATAGGAGATCACCAAGCTCTTAAATGTGTTCTCGACTTTAAAGTAAATAAAGCTAGTAAGTTCCAGAAGGTCCTTATCAGAGACCACTCCTTAAACAATCTAAAAGCCTTAAGCTATTTTCTGGGATCCTGTAGTAACTACAGTAATATTCTAAGCTGTACTAATGTAGACCATGCGCTAGATGGACTTAATCATCACATCCAGGAATCGTATGATAATTACTGTCCACCTAAACAGATTAAATGTAATAGTGACTTTCTTTGTAATCCCTCTAAAGTACTGTTGGCAGAAATACGGAAGAAGAAGATGCTTTTCAGAAAGTATAAAAAGTGTTTAGGACAATTAAACAAATTCAAGTGTAAGTGTATTAATGGAATATGTAACTGCAGAAAAAGTGAACTACATAAGAAATGCTCTACTTCGTGGGATAACTATCGTCCCCAAAGAAACTATGTGACAAAATTATCCAAAGAAAACAGACGTACAAATATTGTTCAGGACCTTACTGTGAAAAGTGCAAAAAACGATTTGAAAGGTATTTGGAAAACTATCAAACATGCTTCAAACTTACCTGGAAAAATAAGTAGCTCTTCCCCAAGCAACTTAAATGTTAACGGAGTTAACCTGCATTTTGCCACAGTTGGTACAATATTACAAGAATCAATTAAGGAAAAGGATTCAGACGACTTTCTAGAATATATGCCGCCTCCACCAGAGTGTAAACTCTCTGTATTCGAAGAGGTGACTGTTGAACAAGTAAAAGAATATATACTCAGTATACCATCAGATAAATCTATTAACGATATCATGCCTATTAAAGTATATAAGTATATTATTCCCCAAATCATCGATCCAGTAGCTCATATTATAAACCTTAGTATGAAAAGTGGAACAATGCCGTTGGCATGTAAAATTGCATCAGTCACTCCAATTCTTAAAACTGGTGACCCTAATGATCCAAATAACTACCGGCCAATATCCATACTCCCCCTACTTGGAAAATGCATAGAATATTTTGTTAACCAACAGCTCACAGAGTATGTTGAAACAAATAAACTACTTACCAACAATCAGTATGGATTTAGAAAAGATCATTCCACCACTTTTCTAATGCTTAATCTATTTGATAAAATATTTACGTCTAAGGAATCACAGAAGAAACCTGCAATTGTATTCTTAGATATTAAAAAGGCCTTTGACACAGTAAGCCATAATATTTTATTGAAAAAAAAGTATTATGGAGTTGATGGCTTTGTCATAAAGTGGTTCAAAAGCTACCTTGGGGACAGAAAGCAGCACACCAAAATACGTGGTAATGTAAGCACATCACTTCCTGTTAAAACAGGTGTGCCACAGGGTAGCATATTAGGACCAATTCTATTTAGTTTATTCATAAATGATCTCAGTAGAAATTGCACACAATCTACTGTTTACTTATTTGCAGATGACAGTGCACTATATTTTGATAACATTTCCCGAAGCATATATGAAAATGTAATTAAGGATATGAAAGTTGTGTATGAATGGCTTAGAATCAACAAGCTGAGACTAAATGCTGCAAAATCTTCATTCATTGTATTTGATAGATATCCTAATCTGGACACGTTGTCAATCCCTCTGGATTTGGAAAAGAATGCCTTTTTATAGAAGAAACTAAATCTCAAAAATATTTAGGTCTCATGATAGACAATTTATTGAACTTTCAAGACCATATTGATTATGTGAAATCAAAAATTGCTAAAAGAATAGGGGCATTATACAGGTCGAAAAATCTTCTTCCACTGAAATATAGAAAAATGTTTGTAAATGCTCTTATGCTCCCCCAATTTGACTACCTGGATATAATATGGTCTAGGGCTGCCAAAACCAGACTTAATTCTCTTGATATATTATACAAGAAAGTAGCAAAAATTGCACTGGATGTTCATTGGCAGGAACCATCAGTAAATGTATATCGAAATATGAAGTGGTTACCCTTACACTTAAGACGACAACTCCATCTATCAACGTATATGTATAAATTTCTTAATGAGGCTGCACCATCATCATTCACCGGTAAATTTTC